AAGAGTTTCCCCCTTTGCACCACCAGAGTTTCCCCCTCTGCACCTTGGCACCAAAGAGTAAGAGTTTCCCCCTTTGCACCACAAGAGTAAGAGTTTCCCCCTTTGCACCACAAGAGTTCCCGGGTGGGAAAGGGAAGCCAGGTTTTCCCCGTAGCAAAAAGCAAGGAAATTTGGGGTCTGGATATGATTATGGAGATGGCATGGAAAACTAGGTGGCAGAAACACGGAAAAAGGGAAATTGGATGGCAGGCCTGGAGATGGCATGGAAAACTGGGAAAATGCACTTTTGCCCATTGTTTCCCTTGACAGGCGCCTGTCCAGCTCGTCGCCTGCTGACCTCCAGCTCTTCGCACGGGGCTCGGTTGTCCCTCTGCGCCACAAGAGCTTCCCCCTTTGCACCACAAGAGTTTCCCCCTTTGCACCACAAGAGTTTCCCCCTTTGCACCACAAGAGTTTCCCCCTTTGCACCACAAGAGTTTCCCCCTTTGCACCACAAGAGTTTCCCCCTTTGCACCACAAGAGTTTCCCCCTTTTCCCCCTTTGCACCACAAGAGTTTCCCCCTTTGCACCACAAGAGTTTCCCCCTTTGCACCACAAGAGTTTCCCCCTTTGCACCACAAGAGTTTCCCCCTTTGCACCACAAGAGTTTCCCCCTTGCACCACAAGAGTTTCCCCCTTTGCACCACAAGAGTTTCCCCCTTTGCACCACAAGAGTTTCCCCCTTTGCACCACAAGAGTTTCCCCCTTTGCACCACAAGAGTTTCCCCCTTTGCACCACAAGAGTTTCCCCCTTTGCACCACAAGAGTTTCCCCCTCTGCACCACAAGAGTTTCCCCCTTTGCACCACAAGAGTTTCCCCCTCTGCACCACAAGAGTTCCCCCCTCTGCACCACAAGAGTTCCCCCCCCGTCACCACAAGAGTTTCCCCCTTTGCACCACAAGAGTTCCCCCCCTTTGCACCACAAGAGTAAGAGTTTCCCCCTTTGCACCACAAGAGTAAGAGTTTCCCCCCTTGCACCACAAGAGTAAGAGTTCCCCCCTTTGCACCACGGGAGTTTCCCCCTTTGCACCACAAGAGTTTCCCCCTTTGCACCACAAGAGTTTCCCCCTTTGCACCACAGGAGCTTCCCCCTTGGCACCGCAACAGTTTCCCCCCTTCACCACAAGAGCTTCCCCCTTTGCACCGCAAGAGTTCCCCCCTTTGCACCACAAGAGTAAGAGTTTCCCCCTTTGCACCACAAGAGTAAGAGTTTCCCCCTTGGCACCACAAGAGTTTCCCCCTTTGCACCACAAGAGTTTCCCCCTTTGCACCACAAGAGTTTCCCCCTTTGCACCACGAGAGTTTCCCCCTTTGCACCACAATAGTTCCCTCCTTTGCGCCACAAGAGCTCCCCCCTTTGGTTTCCCCCGTGCACCACGAGAGTTTCCCCCTTGGCACCACGAGAAGAGTTCCCCCCTTTGCACCACAAGAGTTTCCCCCTTCGCACCACAAGAGTTTCCTTCTTTGCACTACGAGAGTTTCCCCCTTTGAGCCACAAGAGTTTCCCCCTTTGCACCACAAGAGTAAGAGTTTCCCCCTTTGCACCACAAGAGCTTCCCCAGTTTGCACCACCAGAGTTTTCCCCCTTTGCACCACAAGAAATCCGCAAACTTCCCCTTTTGCACCACAAGAATACACCGCGGTTGTTCCCCCTTGGAACTTCACATGATCTATACCGCAGTTTTCCCCTTTTGCACCACGAGAAGTCTAGCTGTATGCCGTGGCTTCCCCCTTCACACCACAAGAACATCCAACGCACAACAGAGTTTTTCCTTTGCACCAACCGAGAGTGGTCTGGTCGTCCTTGTTTTCTACAGATTTCCCCCTTTGCACCACAAGAATTCCCCAGTTTTCCTTTGTGAACGCCAGTTTTCCCCCCTTGCACCACAAGAATTGCCCTTTTATACAGCAGGTTTCCCCCCCCCCTTCAGAGTTCCGCGTGTCTATTACAACTTCCCCCTTCGAATGCCGGCGCCTCCCGCTTGGCGTTGCTCAGGCCACTTCATCCTCCCTGAGAACATCCTCTTCGCACCAATTCTCGTGGTGCAAAGGGGGAAGGAAAATTGCGGTATATGTGGGAGATTGGGGTGCAAACGGGGAAAATAGTGTGGCGCAAAGGGGGAAGACTGTACGCGGGCGGACGTTTTGTGGGGAAAACTGCGGTATAGTTCGGTTGTGCACAAGCGGGAAAACTGCGACGCAAAGAGGCTATCATTGTGGTGCAACAAGGGCGCTGCAGTAACCGCGCAGGATTATTGTGGTGCACAGAGGGAATCTGTGGGTAAACAGGGGGACTTCTCATGGTGCGAAGAGAGAAAGCTGCAGTATAGGGGCAGTTATTCTCTTGCAAAAGGGCAAACCTGCAATAAACCTGCGGAATTGGAAAACTGCAGTAGACAGGTGGAATTCTTGTGGTGCAAAGGGGGAGGGGAAACTGCGGTATGCGTGGAACTTGTGATGCAAATTTGGGGGAAAACTGCTGTATACAAGCGGAATTCTTGTGCCACACAAGGGGAAAGCACGGGAAATTCTCGTGGTGCAAAGGAAGGCAATTCTCGTGGTGCAATGGGGGAAAATTGCGCTATATATACGTGGGAACTTCTTGTGGTGCAAAGGGGGAAAACTGCTGACTGCTGTACACAGCGAGAATTCTTGTGGCGCAAATGCGGGAAACTAGACGATTTTTGGGTGGTGCAAAGGAGGGAATCCACGGAATACAGCTGGACTTCGCGTGGTGCAAACTGCGGTATGCGTCGGAAATTATTGCGGTGCAAAATAAAAGGGGAGAACTGCGGCAAACACGGAGAATTCTTGTGGCGCAAATGGGAATCTGCAGTATACAAGGGCTATTCTTGTGGTGCAAACGGGGAAACAGCGTTATGCGTTGGAAATTCTTGTGGTGCGAAGGGGGAAAACTGCTGTACACAGGCGGAACTCTTGTGGCGCAAGTGGGGAAACTGTGGTGTCAAAGGGGGAACGGGGGTGCTTCTTGTAGTGCAAAAAACTGTGATGCGCAGGATATGTTTTTCAGCTACGGGGCAGCCATGCTGAACAAGTCATGACAAACGAACTGATGAAACTGTCGAAGGAACCAGGGTAACTAAGCAAAGCTTGGCCAGCCTTGTTGCGTTAAAATCACTGGCGCATGTCTGTTTGGGGGGAGGAGGACCGTGCTCGCCCTGGTAGTGGAGACAGGAGCTGCAAAACTGCCATGAGATCGCTGGCGCCTGTCTGCCTGGGGAGGAAGAACTGGCTTGGACGACAAGACAGGCGCTGCCAACGCTGTCCACCACAGAACCACCAAAAAACTCACATCACCATGTTTGTTTGGCATCCTACGAAGCAAGGTACATTGGTTTAAAATGAGCATGAACCCGCTGTTTCCCCATGATTTCACAAACACTGTCACATATTGCTGATGTTTTGTTTCTGCAAATTTACATGAACATCAGCGCATATTCATCATTTTCACCAGTTGTACACAAACATCACTACATGCTCCTTACGATTTTTGCAGCCTTGTTACCGTAATTTTACACGAACATCAACGCCTGCTCATTACGACTTATTCATCATTGTTACCTTGACTTCACACGAACATTTGCAGATTTTTTAATCAAAAAACATGCTTGTAAGACTGTAAGCTTCTTAAACGCAGGCCAGCAATGCTAATTACTTCCATTAATTGAAATGAGTATTTGTTACTAGGTCCCCCAGTAGTGCCCTTTCACCCTTTTTGGGGGAGGGTTCCCCTACGGAAAAAGGGTTGGTACCCTTATTCTAAGCTCTCAAATCTGGAGGACCTAGTTGTGGTTTCCCCTGGTGCTTTTCAAGTTAGAATCTATCACTGGACATAGTTTCTCATTCCAGGGGGCTGAAGTAAATGTCGGATTACGCTTCAGGAATGGAGGCCATGCACTTTCCGGAGCTGCTGAGAGAGCTTGAAGACAGATGGGCGCAATGCTCGTCCGACGCGGGAGCCTCTCAGGGAAGTGTCCGCAGCCTATGCGGAAGGGCAGCACTTCGGGGCCCTGGCAGAGGTGCTTGCTATGCAGGGCTATGCCGCAGGATGCCAATCGAGCTTGGAGCGGTGACATTCAACAGACGCCAGGTGGTACCGCCAGCCTGGCCGCTTAATGGCAGACCAGTCGGAAGACGCTCGCCAGGCGACAAGCTTTGCGTAGAGCGGTGCCTTCCTGGTTCCGATGGGGCGCTTGGGTCGGGTTTCATTTTTTTGCCGGCCACTCCGATCGCCCCATGATGACAACCAGAAACCAACAGAGCCACCTTTGGTTTAGAATTGAGCGTTGACCAAGTACCAACCATATCTGTCAACCCATCTCATAAACTATGCAGAGCTGTAGCAAGATGAGCCACATCAGCCTAATAATGATTAATTCCTGGGGATCATAGGGGGGCCTTTAAGGCTCCCCCTTGATACGCCTCTACACCAGGGTAAAAGTGGATGGTAAACGGGATGATTCAACCGGAATGGGGAATTCTAGGGTCAACATCGATAAAAGGGATGATTCCAGCAGAATGGGGAATTCCTGAGCCGCCTTCACCCTGTAAATCAGCATTTGAGCCACAATCAACACCCGGGTAGATGAAGGTTAGCAAGTGGCAGTCCCAGCCAGAAATAGTTGCGAATATCCGCCTTCTTAATTCTTTACATGGTTCTGGGATTACGACCATGTAAATACCGGGTTTTGAGCCAGTGACTCATATGGCTATGAATTTTAATGCTTGGATATTCCTGAAAAGTGGTTGGTGGGCATAAATCCCCACCAAAGGTTGATGTGCACCAAAGGGTCCCGAATTAAGATTCACACCCATATCCAAAATGAAGATATGCGGATCAAAGTCACTAACATTATGCCCCAATGGGATTACGACCATTTAATACCGGGTTTTGAGTGTGTGACTCATTTGACCCTCGCTCCAGCGGTCGCCTTCTCAGGCAAAGGCGAGGGCACAAGGGAAGCCGCTGAGCCAGGCGGGCGCAGGTCCCCCTCTAATTGCTGCGAACTACCGTTTCTTTTGTGGCGGGAGGGGTCCCCTGAATAGACTACAGCAAAAAAGGGTAGCCTTACTCTAACCTCTCTACTGGAGGACCTAGTATGTGCTTAGTATGTTTCGCCAGCACAGTTTTTTCTTTTTTAGCTGACACGACTTACTAAATGCGTCAAACGACACAGACAAAGCAGCCAACCACTTTTGTAGGTGGCATTTGACCCTGTGCAGGCAAGCCACTATACCAGCCTTTTTCCTTGTGGCCATGGGGAACCCCTTGGTTACACACTATACGCGGAAATGGAATCACGCAAGCCGTTAGGCTTTGCCGGGACTTGTCAGCACCAGGTGTGGTCCATTCAACACACTCTCGAATGCAAGGATATGTTTGACAACATGTGGCTGGAGAATGTCAGCGTCGTGTCAAGAAATGAACAGACTGCATTATTTGATCATTGTTGAGTTAGCTAGGTCCCCCAGTAGTGCTCTTTTACCCTTTTTGGGGGGAGGGTTCCCCTTCTAAAGTTGGTACCCTTAATTATTCTAACCTCTCTACTGGAGGACCTAGTTCGGCATCAACTTAACAAATTCCCCTTCCGTTAAGTCTCTACACTCGTGATCACTTCTGGGTGGGTTTTCCGCCCTTGCGTGGCCAACCAGGCCCAGCCTGGCAAAAGCCGAGATTCACTGCCGAATCACAAACAGCTCAACTCAGACTTGCTTTCCCAAGAGTATCGTCACTGTTCTTGGAAGTTATTTGTTTCTTTCTTTCTTTCTTTTTTTCTGGTGGTTGGGTTCTGCTATTATGTTAGAAGAAAGCCACATTTTTGTGCTACCACACCAAGGGTAGCTGAAGAGAGTGTGTGTGTGTGTGTGTGTGTGTGTGTGTGTGTGTGTGTGTGTGTGTGTGTGTGTGTGTGTGTGTGTGTGTGTGTGTGTGTGTGTGTGTGTGTGTGTGTGTGTGTGTGTGTGTGTGTGTGTGTGTGTGTGTGTGTGTGTGTGTGTGTGTGTGTGTGTGTGTGTGTGTGTGTGTGTGTGTGTGTGTGTGTGTGTGTGTGTGTGTGTGTGTGTGTGTGTGTGTGTGTGTGTGTGTGTGTGTGTGTGTGTGTGTGTGTGTGTGTGTGTGTGTGTGTGTGTGTGTGTGTGTGTGTGTGTGTGTGTGTGTGTGTGTGTGTGTGTGTGTGTGTGTGTGTGTGTGTGTGTGTGTGTGTGTGTGTGTGTGTGTGTGTGTGTGTGTGTGTGTGTGTGTGTGTGTGTGTGTGTGTGTGTGTGTGTGTGTGTGTGTGTGTGTGTGTGTGTGTGTGTGTGTGTGTGTGTGTGTGTGTGTGTGTGTGTGTGTGTGTGTGTGTGTGTGTGTGTGTGTGTGTGTGTGTGTGTGTGTGCGTGTGTGTGTGTGTGTGTGCTAGGATTTGTCCATGCAGAGGGCCAAAACATGTCAAGCCTTCCGGTTAGTCAACTTAAGTCACGCTCCATCCGAATCAACGGGTCCGAAACGTATCAAAGAAAAACAACTTTGCACGCGCCAGGGGTGTCAAAAGCCCATCCGGAGGCGGGGGGGGAAAGCCGGACACTCCGCTTTTGTCTGGTCCTTGAGGTTAGGGATGTTTCAGGAAATGAGCCATGAATGACGCATGGCCTGACTACTCGACCTTTGTTTTCTAGCAAACGGTTTGGAGGTCCACGAATTCCACCAGTTCCACGCTGTTTTGGTGTGTTTCGTATGTTTCGAGTGCTCCTTCTACACCTTTCGTGGGGTGTGGATCCACCAAAAAAAGCATCCGCATCCCTTAGCTGTGATTCTTCCTTCAGGGCCTTGGAAGACCACTTCCTCTCTCGCGGAGCCCTCTGAGGGTGCCCTGACAAATCACTTGCCCTCCCAGGTCCCCCAGCTAGTTGCCACCTTTTATCATGTTTTTTTGTTTGGGAAGGTTCAAACCTACTAAAATAGACGTCCTGAAAAAAACTACTGGAGGACCTAGCCTCCCAAAATGGGCGATTTTTGTTGCTTTTCTCGGCAAGCTTGACGCATGTCGCAAAAGAGAACTGGACTTCATGCTTTCGGAGAGCGTTTTAGACGCAAACCGCCATGTTCTTGTTTGGCCAAGGGAATGCACGGGAGGATGAAACCAAATTGGGTGGGGGCCGACATCCAACAGTAAGGTGCGACAAAGAAGGGCACACAACTTGCATGTGGGGCCCTTTTGCGATCACGGGGGCTTGCCTTCAAAGAGATTTGCCTCTTCTTCTTCTTCTTCTTCTTTACTGGACTCTGTGCATGGTCGCTCGCGGCTTCTTCTGGGGGTGGGATCGATGGTTCAGGGCACCAGGGAACACAGCCAGCAGATGTGCCCAACCAAGCGCGCTCGCCTGGCCTCGGCGCGCTCGGCGCTAGGCCGTCGGCTCGGCTCGGCTCGGGTTTCAGGGCGGCTTGGGCATGGATGAGATGCCCCAGCCCACCTCGGCGCCCAGAGCGCGGGGCACAGTCGGCGAAGAGAACCGCGAACCGGGGGGGGGTCATCGGCTTGGTCCCCCAGCAATCGGTGCCAACTGTTTTACCTTTACCGCTTCTTTTTTGTGCTGGGAGGGTTCAAACCTACTAAACTAGACTTACAGAGAAAAAAGTGGGTACCAAAAAAAATCTAACCTCTGACCTAGTCAGGGGGACCTCCATGGAACCCCCAAAAACTTTGGGCGAGGGGAGCTAAACAACTCCTCAGGCCTGGACTTATGACTGACTTCTTCTGATCGGATCCCTTAGACCCTGTGACTCAAGGAATTCCTCCCTCCCTCGCCCCCTAGGTCCAGGCATTCCAAGGTTCCTGATTCCGCACGTGAACTCAAAACCAAACGGGCTCGCCATTTTGCGCTGAAGCTCCAGATGGTTTCCGCTGACAAACCTTCAAAGACCCAGAACCCCCCTTGCTTCATGAGAACAATGTTGAACCTTCAAAAGTGGCGGAACTTCTATGGACGTTGATCAGCCTTTGATTTGGGAAAATCCAGTGACCCCGGATGCAGCTTGAAATGCCTTGGGATGTTTCTGCCTGGACCTTCAAATGTACCTGAAATTTCTACCTCGCCTGTCAATCGGCTGGTTTTTGGAATTCGTACCTTTTTCTTTTAGCTTGTCCTCTTTTTGGACCTCGAGCAGTTTTTGGAGGCATGAGGGCTGTCAGGTCCTAATATATGACCCTACTCGAGCGGAAATGGTGTGCAAAAACGCCCGCAACGGCCCGCAAAACGAGCGAAAAAAAAAAAAAAAAAAAAAAAAAAAAAAAGCAAACGCAAACGAGAGCAAATTTGGAAAGTGCTCATTTGAAAATATAAACCTCCGGCACTTTTCCATTGCTCGGGCAGAAAATGAGGACTCGGGCACAAACTCTGTGTTCACTCGATGGGACGTGAGCAACAAAAAGCGCGCGCCGCTGCAAGGCCATTGCGCCCGGGGACAGCTTGAAGCAGGAGGATCGATCCAGCCGGCAGTGGGTCAAACCCAATGGTGCCATTTTGGTTGGTAGGTGAATTCACCACCCATTTTAGAACCTATGTTAGTGGGGATTGGGATGTTCACTCGGGTTCGGGGTTTTGACCCATGGCCATATTTAAGTAAGTGTGTGACCAAGAAAAGGCATTGGTCTCCGGCAAACCGATTCGTATTTTAAGGTAGGCTAAATGTATCTCGCTTCCTGAGTTCCGTTTCGGACTTGAGTCACTTTTTGGGTTTGGACCGTTTTGATGGTAAAAGAAAAGTGTGGTTGCCTTTTCCAACCAAGTCCATTCAGGAAGTTAGATATGGAACGTTGGTCCGAAAATATGAGATGCTGTTTGCCGCAGGGCCGAGATTTGTGTCAACTAAGGGATTCGGACGGGGCGCCAAAGATTGTACGATTTCCTCTTGGTGTCCCTTCAATCAAAGCGTTGACCAAACAAAAATGCGGTTTTCGGCTTGGGATTTCCTTCGAAAGTGCGAAAGGTAAAAGATCAAGAGAGGCGTCCCTTGCGGGTCTGACCCTGGGCGTTCAGAGCTCCCGGAGTTGCAAGCCCACTTTCTCTCGGTTCCCAGTCGTCCGGATCCTGTAGCTTTTTTTAGCGTAGCTGGCTTCCTGGAAAAGGGTCCATTCAACCCATAAGTTGATGTTTTTTTGTTTTTTATTTTTTCCGCAGGGGATCAGAAAACGGACAGCCCAGATTAGGTTCCATTTGGCTGTGGCTCAAAAAACCAGTACCAAAATGGGTTGCCCTGGTAAGTGGAAACATGGACCAAAACCCGCGGTTTGCCCCTCCTGTCATAATTTTGAGCCACAGACATTTAAGTGCGCGAGATGGAAGCGAAGAGTGGCCTGACTTTCCTATACCTTCGTACCTCATAGACCCAAAAAAGTCCAAAAGCCTCGGGGAGAAGCGGCATGAAACTTGGGGCCAAATAGCTTGATGGCAACCAGCCATCCGGTTCCTGAGCCTTGTAGCTTTTTGGTGTTTAGTGGTAGTTTCCCATGTCACCCACTAAAAGTTGAACTTTAGCCTTGTAGCTTTTTGGTGTTTAGTGGTAGTTTCCCATGTCACCCACCAAAAGTTAAAAACTTTTAGCGGGGGAGATTGAGGGAAGCCGAGAGAAGGCGATGTGGCATCCTCAAATTGGCTAAGGGGGGTTTGGGGCCTCAGCCAGGTTTTTCAGATTCGGCCCATTGGTCCATTCAGGGGCTCTGTATACGGGCAATGAGACTGGGGTAGACTTAGGATACATTTTACATGTTACCAGTGACTCAAAGTGAATCAAACACTAAAAAATATACATTCTACAACTGGGCCTAACTCTAATCATGGAGATAGATTTACGTTGGGCTCCATTTGTTTGACTAGAATATCCAAAGAATATCAATGGTAACCACTGCCCCACATATGCTTTGGGTTGGGACCTTTTTCCAGAAGCCTGCCTGTAACAGGAGCTTTCTCTAGCAGACTCAAGGACAACAGCCATCATTTGCTCGGAAGGACCCCTGACTCGCGCTGTGACAACGCCAAGAAGAGAATCTGTTTTACTCCAACACTTTCATGTGAGCTCCAAACATCTGGTAAGTGGGTGGAACGGTGGAACAGCAACTCAGTTGCCCAAAGCCGACCTTTTAACCTTTTGTTTTTCCAGTTTTGGTCCATTTTTAGTCATGGCCCCAAAAGGTTAACCTTTTATTTCTGGGTCCTTTGGGCTGAGGCAAACTTTCCTGCAACCAGTGGATTGCCACCGGAAAAGCACGGGAGTTCGCTCAGCTTTGGCTTCTGAGGGCTGAACTTTCATCGCCTGATGTAATCAAGGCTTCAGAGGGGGCCTCAACATGTTGAAGCAGACCACTCGCTTTCCTGCGTACTTGTTTCCACTAGCTTTTGAAGCCCCACCTCTCTCAAGTGTTCTTTTGAAAAGAAGATGTGGTTCAAAAAGAAAGCTGCATGTTGTTCTTTCGCATGCTTTTGTGCCCCCCTCAAGTTTTCGTTCGCACATTGAAAGTAGCCCCTCACAAGAAAGCCATGCGGGTTTCTGGCAAGAGACGCCAAGGACCTCAACAGGAAAGCACAACAGGAAAACCGCCGAGGAAGCCATGGCGCGTTTGGTGACGGCAGGAAACTGCAAAGCCGAAGCCGACCTCATTGCAAGGCCCTTGAAAGGTCCAAAACCTAAGATCCTTTTCTTCCATTTCCTGAAAACAGTATTGGGTTATGTTCCCCCTGTTTGTTTTGTGTTTTTCTAGTTGGAATCGATTTCACCGCTGGACCTATTTTTTTCCGCTTTTCCCCTCAGGGGAAAAGCAAAGTGGAGAGTCCAGCTAGGCCTCGCCGGCGGCGGGTCCGCCGAAAGGTGGGGGGATTCAGGTGGGGCGCCGGCCTCGGAGTCCGGAACTTCATCGATGTTCCGTTTCAGGACATGTGCATGGCTGTGGGTCAATGGGCACCCAAAAATGGAACACTGGTAAATGAGATGGAGTGACACCTGTGTTTTTTTTTTCTGGTGGCTTGATTTTGACCCACACCCAGATCGGTTCCATTACTTTGACTGAGCAAGACCTCTAATGGCCAATCCTTGTGATTTGCGCCACACTCCCAAGACTTGAGAGGGCTACGCTCCGAATCTAGCCCATGCAGGGTCCCTGAGAATGGCTCATGGCACCCAGATAAACCATTCACACAAAAGACCCCAAACGGTGGTTTCCTTTCAGGTGGTTTCCTTTCAGGTGGAATGAGAAATGGTGGTTTCCTCTTAAAGGGCCCAGTTGCCGCAGTTCTCACCATGGTAATAAGCGGCGTACCAAGCTGATTGAATATCCAAATGGTGTTTGGGTGGATCTTTGGCCCTTCACTTTTTCGGGAACGTGTGCATTTCCCAACAATAGTTAAGCCTTTCGCACTGGGGTGCCAGTACCCGCAGAGGGTTCTTTGTAATGTTATCAGACTTTTAGCTTAGCTTGTAAGCATGTTTTTCTCTTCTTGGTGTTCCTCATGTTTCCTTTCAAACAATAAAACTATAGCTTTTTCCAGGCGGTCTAGAGGGCTGCTTGCCTCGGTTCCTGTAGTGCTCACACCACGACTTCCAGGACACTGCACTATGTTTGGGATTTTCGTTTCAAATAAGCAGCTCGGACTTAGAACCTGAGTGGCTGTAGAAGTACTAGGCATCCTCCTCATGGCGTCTGGCTGCTTGCCAGTTGTTGCCCATGGTAAAGAAGGACTTCTTAGGTGCTAAATGGCTGGGATGTCTCCCTTTTTTGGTTATTACTTATAATTTTGAGTTTCAAGGCACCCCACAGCCCCATTCCATATTTTTTCTTCCTAGTACCCAACATACCGAAAGGGGCGGGTTTTGGGTTTTGGGGGGGAGGCGGGTTTTGGGGGGGGGAACCGACAACTCCCCCGCACTGAAGCTGGGCTTCAAAGGAACGATTTTCGTTCTATTGTCACGTCGCGTCCTTGGCCCCCCCCCCCCCCCAATTGGTTTTTCCCGGTTTGCTTCTCCAGAATTAGCTCCCCTTTTTGCTTTTTTGCTTTTTTGGGGGTCCCTTTGTTTTCCACTACCCAGGCAAAAAGGATATGTTTTTGCTGGGGTTCTAATTCCAGCCTAGGTTGCTGCTTTAAAAAACAAAAAAATCGCCCCCTGTTTGCAGCTCCCCCAAAAATGTGGAGGCCCTCCAAGGGTGACGTGGATGACGGCTGGACCGAGAAACATGGGAGCCCTGTCTAGGTGTTTGTCCATCTTCGGTGGTGTTCAAAGAGGGGGAGTTCGGCATCGCTCCTACTGCTTTGCCTGAGCAACTCAGCATTCAGTTGGGAGTGCTTGAGAAGTGCTGGCCTTACATCCGGAAGACCGCAAAGGTCTACCACTGTTTCGAGCCGAACCAGAAGGACTCTCAGGGCAATCGCTACGGGATCATCTTCTCCTTTGAGCCACGCCGCAGGTTGCCGGGACAACTTCCGCACCCAGTCGATCTCGTCGTTCTATTGGGCGCACAACACGGACATCAAATCCGCCATCAGCATCTTGAAAGACGACGAACTCATCCGACCTTCGAAAGACCCGCATGGGCCTTTTTTGTTTGTTCCAAACGTAAACCAGAATCACCAATTCCACCTACTTGGGTAATCGGCTAACTTAGCAAGTTGTTGGTGACCTGGGCTGCAACTCACATAAGTTCTCCTAAGTGGAGCTAACCATTGCTGCGTTGCAACCAGGTGGCTAGCCACTTACTAACTTGGCCGAACATCCTAGTAGAAATCAAGCAACATAGGTTTGTTCCACATGGGGAATCCCCGCATATTGGTGGTTCCTTTTTGGCTTCCCTTTAAAACCCTAATCAGAGTGAGGATCAGGCCACTCTTAGGGAAGCCAAAAAGGGGCCAAGTCTCAGGTCGCAGCTTGTCTCCAGAAGACACCATCCTCACGCCGGTCTTGTCCGAAACCATTCTGTTTCTACCTGGGGTTTGGCCCACTTTCTGAAGAGAAGGGTCTCTGTTCAGCAGTTGTAAGTTGAGGACAGATTCCGAACAGATGCATTTGCACCAGCTTGCGCCAACTACTTGCTTCATACGGCTGTGAGTTTTTGAGGGCACTTGTGTTAGGGTTGGTCAAAAGGACACTTTTGTTGAGGGTCATTAGATCCCTTTGACGAGCCGAACCGGGAGAGTTTACTTCTGCGCCGAGGAAGGGCAAGGGCAAGTCCCCGCCTACGGTGCGGTGCTCGGGAAAGAGTTCCTTCAACGCCCAGAGTCGTTCTTGGCGAATTGAGGCGACATCAGGGACTGCAAAGCCCAAACGATTTCAGGATCCTTCACTTTTGGCATGTCTTGAGGGTTTTTTCTTAGAATTTTCTTCGTTCTGTTCATGTATTAAGTGGGGCTGTGGATGCCCCATGAGGGTGGATCGCAGAAGCTATGGAGCCCTGACTAAAGGGAATCCGAAGGGTCCACAGCATGGCTTGATTGAACCCGAAAAAAAAAGGCCCAGGCGGGGTCCTTCAATGAGGCTGGATCTTGCTGGGAGCGCCGGGACTTCTGGACAGGTCGATCCCATTCTGATGCCTCAGAATGGACTCGGGACTCCCCCCAAGTTGAGGGTTGTCCCTTTTTTTCACAAGCCACAGGAGAACCACCTAAAAAGGGCACCCACAAAAACAGGACATACATTGATTTGTTTTTTTCGGTTCAGCCCCTTTAGGCATCACCATTCGGGCAATTTGTAGATGCGTTGCTCTAGGTGAGAGAAACAAGGGGATGCCTGGAGACATGAGCACTTGTCCTTCCCTTGACCAAAAGCCTTCCATAGTCTTCCCACCGAGGCGAGGGAGCACTTCCATGTTTGTTAGAGGATGTAGAGTTGACCTCAGATTTTCCTAACCCGGCCTGTCCTATTAATTGGGTGGGTTTTCGCAAAGTGATGACGCTTGTGAGTCAACCAGGGGTTGAACTAAAGTCCAACATGGGCATGTGCTACCCAGGGGAAGGGCGGCAAAGATGGCAAGGCACGTCGAGCGAAGTCGAGGGGTAGTCGAGGAGTTTTGGGACGTGTGAGTTGAAGGCGGTGGATGCCGACCTAACATGAAAACGAAGGCTAGTACGGGACATTTCCAGCCGTAAATTGGTTCGGGCCCGCTTGATTCTCTACTTGCTTTTGAGTAGACAACCTTAACACCAGATGTTGATTGTGACTCATGGAAGGTTTTGCTGTTGGAGTTCTGACGTGCTCAGTTTCCAAACCGTGCTTGGTTGCCCAGCTTCTGTATCGGCTTGGTCTTAGTCTAGAACAAGTTGTAGGTTTGTCTGGCCGGGAAGTAAGGTGTTGGACACATGTTTGGGTTAGGTCCCCACTTTAATCTTTTTCGTCCGCGAGGGCTTCCAGTCGCGGGTTGGAGAATAGCTCGGAGATCAGTTGGTTTCCAACTGAGAACTAGGATGCTCGATTCGCCGAGCTGGTAAGTGGTACGCCCGGGTCTAATGTCAGGGTTATCTTCACTGAACGGGGAACCTCGAAGTGGGGTATATCCCAAGTTACCAACAGCTCTCCAAGTTGGCCGAAGAATGAGTTCTGGTTGTCAGGTTAACAACAAGTAATTTGAACCCCCAAGTATGGTTGTCGAGGCCCAAATGGAATCTGACAGAATGGACCGAATCCAAAGCACCTCATTGAGCACTCGCCAGTCAAGACCTGCAAGACTTCGAGAGGTTCCTCTAGCCCAACCCGTTTGGTAAAAAACAAAATGAAGTTTTTAGGTTTTCTTTTTTCCCTTTTTAAACAGCGGTGGATGTAGCCCAACCCGTTTCCTTGCGGCGTTGTTTGCGGGGAATTCCATGGGAGAGTTCGCCGGAGTTGGCCTCCCAGGTTCCTACCCTGAGAACCCCCACTGGAGGAATTAGAAGTCTAGGTCCCCCAGCCAGGTGCCCATTCTTTTACCGTTTCTTTTTTGGTTGGGAGGGTTAAATAGACTATACCCCAAACAAAGTTGGTACCAACTAAAATCTGGAGGACCTGGTAAGTCTTAGAGAGAACTGAGGCCAAACTGGGCTCGTTGGCTTCAGACCTCTCGCACGGAAGCTCCCGGAAGAGCTTGAAGAGGTCAGCGCCTAGCGCCAAGGATGAAACGCGTAAGAAGTGATTGACGGTGGCTATGGGCTATGGATTTGGGTATGGGGCAAAATTGTCGAAAGCACCAGGAATTGGACCGCTGGTTTTATTTAGTCCATGCCCATGTAGCTGTCTGTGATCAGAACCTAAACAAAAGGCTTTCACGAGAAAAGTCTTTCAGAGATGCCAAGCCAGGGCGATGCAGGCGGGATCGATCGGTGCCGGAAAAACGACTCCTTCTGGAAAGACTTCACGAATCCTTCTGTGCAAATCAGATTCCACCTGGACCCAGTGGATCCCTGCCAAGCCACTACAGTAGGTAACTAGCAGAAATATGTTTGTTTTTGTTTGAAGGGTGGCAAGCCCTTGATTTACTTATATACAAGTAAATGGAATCACTGGGGTAGTAATGGGGCTCACCGATGAAGGTTGCTTACTTGTGGAATCCTCCGGTTTTTGAACCGTAGTAATTTGTGCTGATGCTTTGCAGGAATGCCGTGACACAACTGGATTTTGCCGGTTTGTTGCCGCAAAGAGGGATCAGCTTTTCTGTAGAGTGCCGCTCGGGTGGCGTTTACTTGCTGGTGCTCAGTAGGCAATGTGGGAATTCCCCTTAAAGGACACCACCAGTTGCATAGTGTATAGGGGTCATTCCAATTCTCATTCCCTGTGCGCCGGAAAGTTTGACACTTGCTGGGCTTGGGCCAACTTTGAACCCAAAGCGGTTGGGTTAGCATTTGCTTTCGGAACACTGGGTACATGTAGCGGTTTTGGCCTGTTTTCGCCGCAGGTTTGGCCTGACCTCCAGTAAGGCCTATTTTTTGCCCCAGCTCAACTCCCTCCCAGGGGATCTGTTGTTTGAGGGGGATTGGAAGGGTCCAAGAATTGAGTTGATGTTTAAACATCGGCATGGATTGCCATTAACCAAATCGGCCCTAGCTTGCTGCATGGACCAGGTGTGAAATGTTCTATGGTGCAGACCTGGATTGAATTGCACGCCCAAGTTGGCAAGACCTGGCTGCTGAACACAGTCGGATGGTTGTATGGTGAGTATTTATGTGAGCCCAGCCCAAACTCACTTCCTGAGTTGCTGAACTTAAAAAAAAAAAAAAGTAAAAAATGGGAAGACAAGTGAGTAAATCGTGCTGGCTGGTTGGGTAATATGGAGCCCCTTTTGAGGCGACCAAACCGTTTGGTGGGGGGTCATTGAGGGGCCCCTGATCTGGAAGAGTTGATTCAAGATGCCGGCCTTGGCTCACTCTAAGAATCCCCGAAAGGGCTCGGAGATTCCTTTTTGTTTGGGTGTGTATTAAAATGGCTGTGGTTGTGAAAACCAATGGTATCCCATTTTGGGGTAGGTGAATTCACCACCCATTTTAGAACCTATTTAAGCGGGGCCGGGGATTGGGATGTTCAGGGTACGATTTGGATTTTGACCCATGGCCAAATAGGGAACCCCGCCAAAAAGGGGGGTGCGAGTACCAATTGGCTCCTCTCAGAGACGACACTTTGATTGCAGAGAGTCAGATGGCGTCATTGCACCCCTTGAGAAGGAATCCAGCGGCCCCACACTTTCAGGTTCAGCCCCTGTCAGCCAAGAATGAAGCCCCAAATCGCAGGGTGCTACATCGCCAGAGCAAGAAAAGGAACAGAACAAACCACACGCCGATTTTCGGCTAGAGGTCTGGGGTCCATAGGCTCAGAAATCGGCTCGGAACTCGTTTCGGGGCTTGGGCTTCAAAAGGTTTCGAGGTGTGGGGTCCACCTGGGCTCGGAGATCCCATCTTGGCCCTCAGATCCCATCTTGGCTGAATTTGTGGATCCGCTTCAGGCGCCAAGGCTCCAGACGCCCGGGGCCCGAAGTACGTCGACATCCCAAGAGCTTCACACCTCGCCTAGGTCCCCCAGCAATTGGTGCCCACTCTTTTTCCCTTCCTTTTTTGGGAGGGGGTCAAACCTACTAAACTAGGCGTACAGAGAAACAAGTGGGTAGCCAAAAAATCTAACCTCTCAAATCTGAAGAGGACCTAGATTGCTGCGAGAGCAAGGGAAGGACGAGGCCGAGTGTTGGGAATGAGTTTGGTTTTGGGACTCCCGAATAAAGGACACCACCCGTTGGATGGAGTTTTTTGTTGGGGTCGTTCCGACTCATTCCTGCTGAAGAACCAGCAAGATAAGGATATTCTCTAAATGGGTGTTCGGTCGGACCCCCTTTTTCCCTGTGATCTCCCTTTAAATCCATGGAACAAGGGGATTCTCCAACCCCACCCAAGATGTGTCCCAATTTTTAGGCAAAAGTTGGGAACCTTGGAGAAACGCGGGTTTCTTCTTTTACCGCCTTCTAGAGACATGTGTTTCTTAGACGCCACTTGACTTCCCCAGATTTAGCTCCCTTTTTTTCCGCTTCTTTGGGGTCCCTTTGTTTTCTACCAACTCGGCAAAAAATCTCATTTTACTAGGTTTGACCCCTTTTTTGTACGTCAAACCTTTTTCAGCTCCCTTTTGGATCTCATTTTTTGCTGGGGTCGAGATTTTTTTCCAGCCTTGAGCTGGGAATCCGTGCGTCAAGCCCTAGGTCCCGATCCCGGAGGCGAAATCCACCTACCGGGAGGCGGGAAGCGGGGCGAAGCGGCGCTCGGGGGAAGATCCGTGTTTTTTTCTTGGCTAGGTCCCCCAGCTGGGTGCCCTTTTGCCGTTTCTTTTTTTTTGGGGGGGTTGCCCTACTAAATAGTAGACTACATTTTACAAAAACAAGTTGGTACCCCTCTTCTAACTTCTCTACTGGAGGACCTATGTCCCTTGCATAGGTGTCCTTTTTGGTTGTTTTGGTCGAAAAATAGATGGGTTTCCCTGGATTACCTGGTGGTTTAGCTTACCGGTGAGACTTGGGGGGATTTCAAGCGCCCCAACTTTGATGGCCCGACCAGGTCTTAAACTGTCCGAGTAGCATTGCGCTACTCGATATCGCCTATTTACCTGGTAGTTTTTTCGCATCCACCAGGGCCATCTATTTACCCTAAAAGGACACCTCTGGTCTCTTGGGTTTCTGAGTGAAGCCTTGGCCAGAAGCTGACTTCCTTCGGCCGGAAGCTTTCGGCATGGCCTTCCTTTGGTTTAACCCGAGTGTTGCCATGATTGGTGTGAAGGTATGAACATGCGGATGGTTCTATGTATGCTCCTCTTAGGATTCTTACACAAATTTCTGAACACCTTTCTGGGACGGTAGGGAGGTCTAGAAGGGTTCTGAGAAGCTGTTGTGTAGCCAGGCCTATTGACGTTAGATGAAGGGACAGTGCCAACCACAGCGGATGTTTGGATTCTTTACATGTTTGTTCTTTGCATATTTCCGGGTCCGGTCCAACCAAAAGGGTTTCAGGAATAAATACTAGGTCCCCTAGTGGTGTCCTTTTACCCTTTTTTGGGGGAGGGTTCCCCTACTAAAATAGACTGCAGAACAGAAGTTGGTACCCACTTATTCTAACCTCTCAAATCTGGACCTAGAAATCGCCCGCACACTCCACGCTGCGTGACCACCTGGGCGGCGGTTTTTTCCTCCCGCGAGCCGCGAGGGGGGGCTGCGCACCACGGTGAACACGCCCTCGACCCTTCTCACAGAGGCCGACCCGGAGGAGGCCGGCGGCGGAGCCTCGGGGCTTTGGCAGCTTGGTGTTTCTTGTTGCTTTTTGTGGGGGGGGGGGGAAAGGGGGGGGTAGGGGGTACTTTTGTGTTTGGTGATGGTTTTTTTGGTAGACGGTTTAGACGCAAACTGTTTGCTTGATTGTGCAGTCTTCACCTGGACCCGCCTCTTTGGTTTAAGACTTCACTTTTGAGACCCATTTTTAAGAGTTGTTGGGAGTCCAACTTGATGCCATGGGTCGAAAGGCGAATCCCACGTGGAGGGCTTCTAGCCGTTGACAGAAGATCGCAAAGGGATCCGGTGTCCCTTTTACCAGGGTCCCCGAAACTTGGACCGACCAAACAGACCGCAGTTGCCAGGAAGTCCTTGGAATTCTGACTGGAGTATGTGGCATGAGTCCCAGCACCCAACTGATTGAGTGGGTGCCAGCAACGTAAAACACCAGCGACCAGAAACCCCAAAAAAAAACAGTGCCCGGCCTTTGCGCCGTGCGTAGTCTGGGCGGCTTGGGGCTGGGGCCAGGGAACTAAGCGTTGGGAACTTGAGGGCAGAGCTACAGCCATTGTCCACCGCTGTAAAAGAGAGGGGTCGTGCAGCGGGAGGGTTTTGGGGGGGGGGGGGGCTATTTCCGGACGCTGTGACCGTGACCGTTTTGGACAATCTAGAGTGAGTTGTTGAGGGGGGGATGTTTAAGGAGGAACTATAGGTGACTATTCGAATGGGGGACGCTTCCAAATTGGTGGTTGTATTTTGGATTCTCATTTAAACAACCCCAACGAGGGTACCCTTGAAAACACCAACGGATCGATCGTACATGCAGGAAGCCCTGAAGTGTAGAAGCCTTTGACTTGTTCAAGAAATCTGGGGTGTCAGCTTTTTGTCGGAGGGCGGCATTGAGCCGGAGCATTACATGTACTACGCCCGGAGGCCCAGTGAGAACTCAAGGAACTCTTGACTCTGTCTCACACCCTTCACCCTTCTCTCCTGTTTTCTGGGGGGAGGGGTTCTTTAGAATCAAGTGCCTACGAACTTTAATGAGGAATACCCTGCCCCATGGTTGGTGGACATGAAGCCCCACCTAAATGCGGTCCACCAAAGTGCCCCCAATCGAAATTCACGCCCAAGTGCCAAAAATGGGTTCCCACTTTTCACCATTGCCACTTTTCCAGCGCCAGCGCATGTCCATATTGGTTTCTGCAGGGGAGCTTCCTTTTGAGATTTGGATTGGCTGCAGTTTCTGTTGAGATTTGGATTTTTAGTTTCCATTTGACTTGCGCAATTAGTATTGCTGGAGTTGAATTTCCATTTGATTCAGTACTGCTGGAGATTCCTGTGAGATGTGGTTTTGAGCTTCCATTTGATGTTATTGTAGGGGCCCCTCAAACAAAGTCAAATTGGTACCCCCTTTGCGTTTGCTTGTGGGCAGCTTTTAAACAGGATCCATGCAAAGAAATGTGTGTTTGGGGAAGCTGAACATTTTGGATTTTGGGGAGCAGGCCCAACTGTAAACGTCAATCGCCTGAAGCTTCGCCAGCATCACTTGGGCTGTAGAATTACACTGGATTTGATCAGGCGGGCAGGCAACAAGACTTTGCTGTAAGGGCCCTTTCTTGGGTCTGGAGTAGTACTGCCCCCTTTGTGGGATTGATTGTGGGCAGTTGTTGAACAAGATGCATGTAAGGAACCATGACTTTGGGGAAGCTTGAGTTTTGCCTTGATTCTGTGTTGATGTTTGTTTGCTTTTCCTGATTATTTGTTTGAACTTTTGTTTGGGCTGCCAGGGGGAGTGCTTGTCTTTATTCCAAACACCTCTAACGTGTTGGTTGTAGTGACCTGGAAGGAACCCCAAACGGCGATCATGTTTGTTTGACCGTGTCACTTGGTCGCAGGGCGATGCAGGGTTTCTTGCTGAAACTGTATGAAGAATCAGCTAGACGCAGATACCCGCGCATATTAAGTGTACATATATATATATATATATATGCATGTACACACACATGCATTTGCTTATATAGTTACAAATACATCCACATACACATATGCGCAGTATGTAAACTTGGTTTACGTACATATACATATATATATATATATATGTATACATAGATAGATAGATAGATAGATAGATAGATAGATAGATATACGTACTCTGTGGCATGCTGGTATATATGTGCATGTGTATATATATATATATATACACATGTATACGTGTAAACTTATATGAATATAGTCTTGTTTGGTTTCAGAACTCTACTAGCTGCAGCTGGATTTCTCCACGCAACGGCCCGACGGCCCGACGGCCCGAGGCGCAGCAATACGCGGCGCTCGCACAGCAGTGACTCGGGTTAATCCAGCGAAGGTCAAGATCGAATATTCCAGGGGGTGATTCCTTTTCCATTCCTTTCAACCATCGTTCTTTTCAAAGTCCAGCTGTGTTTCCCCCTAGGTTTTTGATTTCCTGAAAAGAAGGATCCCTGGAAAGAATGGGGGAGGTACCCCCAGAATTTTCCATCGACCCCCATCACCAGGAGCAAATCCTTACGAAAACTTGGCTCCCCCCCTCTATAGACCACTAGGTCCCCAAATAGTGCCCTTTTACCTTTGTCGGGGGGAGGGTGTCCCTACTAAAATAGACTACGGAAAAAGTTGGTACCAACTTATTCCAACCTCTCAAATCTGGAGGACCTAGTCTACCCTTATTGTACCCCTAAGCCGCACGGCCAACAAAAAAAAGACCCCGAAAAAAAAAAAAGAAAAGAAAAAAAAAGGAAAAACAAAAAAACAGCAGCGCCCATGCCAAAAGCCTAGGGAGGGACTGGACGAGAAGGGTTCATCACATTCATCTCCTCTGGCTCTATGAACCTGGCGCCTGCAGTCAAAACCGTTCTAAGATCCCCATTTTGGTTGGGATAGTGGGGATTGGGATGTTCACGGGGGGTACGATTTGGCTTTTGACCCATGCCCATTTAGGTAATCACTGGAATCTTATTTGAATCTGTGTTGCATGTGGTTCACCAGATGTGAAACAGAATCAAACACCTTTGATTGTGTATTCAGACACAGCCTTCAGTTGGGAGAAGGCATCGGTTTGAGAAAGATGCTAGTGCCACATGCTCGGGACATCTCTATATCTAGCTGTTTAGACTTGGGGAACCCTGGTTAGACTACTTTTAAGCCAACAAACAAAGCAAGCTGTTGCATTTGGAGAGGACAGCTTCAAGGAATGTTTGGGAAGATAACGAGCTTGCAGTAAGACGAGGCCCATGAAGGTTCCTCAAGCTGGCGGTTCCCGAAGCTTTCGGGTTGCCGAGACGAGACCCCCGCAGAGTTCTTTGACGATCCCAGAACAACTAGGTCCCCCAGTAGTGCCCTTTTACCGTTTCTTTTTTAGGGGAGGGTTCCCCTACTGAAATAGACTACAGCAAAAAGGGTACCCTTATTCTAACCTCTCTACTGGAGGACCTAGACAACGTAACTTGCACAGACACCGTTGAAACAACTGCCAAGGAGTGCGTGTGCTTTTTGTCTAGGGACCCACCTAAAATTGCGTTTGTTCCTTCGGCTTCCCTTGAACACCAACCCGAGGGCACGCCTCAAATCAAATCCACACCCCCAAAATCTCCATCAGAAGCCTTGGAACCTCAAGCCACTCGAATTTTGGGTCTCAACATTTTCGGGGGGCCAGGCGGTTTCCGGGTTTCCCCGCCAACAGCATCCAACCAAGCGGTCCCATCTTGAAACAGACCCTTCTGAGGTCCCATGTCCATTTCTTTCTCGGCTAGGTACGCTGCCTACGCGCAGTACTGCGCACAGTACGCGCCACAGGCCTGGCAGTTCAAGAAAGCCGATGTCCACTTTGAGCATGGCTTAGCTTCACTGTTGTTGGCAAGGGTTTTGGCTGTTTGGTTTTTAGTCTTGTTCATTTTTAGTAGAGGGCCTGCAAAAACACACATTTAGTTGCTACCATACCAAGGGTTGGAAAGTTAACTATCGCCTTTTGGGCACATTTGATGGATCAAATAGTCCTTTACATGGGATGGCGATTTGAGAAACCAACAAAACGATGACTTTCACCACTAAATGGGAACAGTTACCCATGGTCGTTTTTGGGTCAACCCCCATGTAGACTGAGATGTGTGAGGGTGGTCTTCCACTGGGGCCTTCTGCACATATACGCTGATTATATGTTCGGGTGGACTAAGCATGGACCAGAATCTGCATACAGCGCATTTCAAGGGCGCATTGAACGAAAGGCTTATCTCTCGCAAAGCTCCAAAGACTCTTGTCAGTCAAACTCTTCAAGTGTGGTAATTACCCTTCCTCCCACGTGGCCGTGGCGCCTGTGGTCGGGTGGGTACCTGGAAGATCACTTTCCTTTTTGGAGGGACCCCGTTGTCCGGTGCTATGCCAGTGGGAGACGGGGTACATATCACCTACATGAAGCCGTGAGCAGTAACGGTTGCTTCAGTGTATTTGTTGGACACCCCTTGATCAGAGCTTAAACACCGCTCTGAGTGGCACTCCGTCCTCTGAAAATCACATGAGGCCCCAACATGATGTGCGATCACAAGAGGAGACAACTGGGTATCTTGCAAGTCCATGTTACTTTCAGCAAAGACACTGGGACCCCAAAGATCGGTTTTCTGACTGATTGGGTGCCCCAAGCGGGGATCGTTTGTTTTGAGGGCTGAGACGGCCCATGCTGAGAAGCCCATAGCCATCCATTTCGGTTCCCTGTCCAGAGCTCCTCAGGTGGCGTCTGGAGAGGCTGGAGCAGGACGGAAGCAGTCTCCGATCAGTTGAGGTTACACCGACTCGAGCCATTGTCTCACTTCCCGAAAGACCGTACCAGGACTTGAGACGCTGGTTGGGGGTGGTGGCCATTTTCTATTTCCGCCAGCTAGGTGCCCTTTTACCGTTTCTCTTTTGGGGGGAGGGTTCCACTGCTAAAATAGGCTACAGAAAAAAAGGTACCCTTATTGGTGGCCATTTTAGTGGTAAAGAAAAACAAGTTTGGGCTATTTTTCTGACCGATCCCTTCGATCGGAAGTGATGCAGTCCAGTGACAAATAGTGACGTTGTGTTTCTGGGCATTAAGGACCACTAAGGCCCATATCCTTCCCATTGCCTCCCCGTGTGGTCTCTTGCAGGTGCTCAGCACACAATGAGAATTGGAATGACCCCGAAAACACACACACACACACAACAAAAAAAGCGCATCCCTTATGGTTTCCTTCAAGGGGATTTGTGGGTCATTCCCTACTGAGCACCAGCAAGGTAATAGCTCAGAAAAAACGAGTATTGGACTGACACTGTGCGCCTCTTTTTCTCCTTCTTTATCCGTAAATGTGCCTAAATGGGGGTCAATATCCAGTGGGTGTATTCCCAGGGTGTAGTACAAAAACCCTCGGATTTTGAGGTAGTGGTGTAGGGAAACGCCCCAGATGACCAAGCTTCAATGGGCCTCTGAGCTTTCTTTTTGCCGTCAAGGGCTCAGACTTTTTCTGGTGTCAGGAGTTTTGTTTTTGAAGCAACTACCCAACCGTTCCTTCACTGTTCTTGGCGTGTTTTTGGTTTTTTAGTATATTGGTTCTGTTCATGTTTACTGGGGGTCTGCAAAAAACAAAGTTTTTCGCTGCCATACCAAGAGTAGAGATGATAACCAGTTGGATACTTTTCCCAAAGCCACAGGAGCTTGGGTTGCGTTCCGTGTTTTTAAAAGAGCTATTTCCCCCGGATGGGGAAATGGCATCCATGTCCTCATGCTGCCCAGCTTTGCTTTCCGGTCCACTAGGGGTCCTGGACTTTCAACTGGACCCCGGGTTTCATGTTCGTGGGCAGGAGGGTAACCATAGGTGTTTTTTTTGTTGTTTTGGTAGAAAAATGGATGGGATTTCCCTGGTTTACCTGGTGGTTTTTTCTCATCTACCAGGGCCATGGGCCATGCATTTACCCTACACCTATGAGGCCAACTGTTTGTCTTTTTGGGGTTCCTTCGACTTCCCTTGGCCAAGGCTGACTTTCGCCATGGCTGTTTGGCCCAGTCTGGGTCAAGGGAACTCCGGGGGAATCTTCGCCCAGCCATTTGGTTCCTTAGGTCTTAGGTTTTGGCTGTTTAGGGTTTGGTGGAGGGTTTACATTGAACTTAATCATTTAACCCACTAAAAGGCTTTTTTTTGCAGGGGATTTGAATATGAAGAGCCCAGCTTGGAATCGTATTTTATGTGTGTTTGTTTTGTTTTGTGTTTTGTGTGAGGCTCAGCGCCGGGCAAAGGCGCTGTTGCAACTGCTCAGCCCCAGCAGCCGCAGCAGCGGCAGCAGCAGGAGCAGCAGGACGGGGGGTCGAGTGCTGCAAACGCAAAGGGTGCCCTGACAAAACGAGAGGAACAGAGCTACCAGCTTCCCCAGTAGTGCCCTTTTACTGCTTTTTTTGGGGGGGAGGGTTCCCCTACTAAAATAGACTACCCAAAAAAAGGGCATCCTGATTCTAGCCGCCCAACTGGAGGACCTAGGCTAAGTATCTTGAAATTCAAGCTAGCTTGGCACAAGCGGGCTGATTGGAACGGAACAATCAGTCATACTGGACAAAATCCTGCACCACCCAAGAAACCCTGGAATGGTGATATCCCTCCTGTAAATGCCAACAGGCAATGGTTTCGCATGGTTTCCAAGTGGTGCGAAATGGATTCCGTCCACCTACAGTAGCAAGGAAACCATCGCAAAACGATGGCCCTGAATGGTCCCAAGCAGGTCACATGCGTGTCACCTGCATGGGCTCCCTTGCAATGGCTTCAAGAGATGGGTCGGTGGGGATTGTCCCAGCAAAGCATGACCATCACAGGGCGCCGGGAAAAATATATATATATATATCTCATGAGTACAGCATGCCCGAAGTTAGGTTTTGGGGGGGTACTCTACATAGGACATCGTCAAAAGCCCCGCTGGGGCTGTTGACTATGGAAGTTGACGAATTCTGATGGTCGTTTCCCCAAAGCTATCCCAAACCAGCAATCCCTCATTCGCCTCGCTGGTATGGCAACTACAGCCCCTCCAATTGCTACACACCAAGCCCAATCAGATTCAACATCTGAGCAAATTTCCCTGCAGATCGCAGTTACCGCTATAGTAGGCAACCAGCCATGTTCCTTTAAGGGGGATTCCCCTGGTTTCCTGCTATACAGGAAATGGACTCACTGGGACACAAATTCGGGCGTCCACAATGAAAGTACCTTGAGCTCGTGACATTTAATTGTCCAATCGGTGGTGGCTGCTCATCAAATATGAAACAAGACAGGAACCATGTGCAATGCCTCTGCACTTTGCGAGGTTTGCGATTGGATGTGGTTGGTTCACTTGCTGTCCCGCGAAACAGCTCTCACATCAATAGCAAAACATAGCAAAACCCAGTGACTAAAGTGTTGTACCCCGGCTTGAAATGGTGGGCCAACAACAAAGAACCGCACAGGCACGGTGCCTCGATTTTGCCAGCTCACTTTGCGGAGATGGGATTTTGGCGGAATCTCACGCATGAGCCTTGACCTAGACCTAGACCTAGACCTCCAGCGCCGCGTTTTCCATTTTGTTGGGATGCTACGATTTGTTCGACAGACCTCAAATCAACCAAAATGTTTTCCCTCTGTATTTAGATACTGCCCCACCCTTCCATTTGTCCAGTTTGGTGCGCGTGGGTGTCTTCCGTGGGACTTCAAATACCTCAATTGTTGTTACACCTTGGCTTCGCTGTTCTTGGCAATTTTTGGTTGTATTGGTTTTTTGGTTCTGTTCATGTTTAGTAGGGGGCTGCAGACAGCAAAGAGTTTTGCAGTCATACCAAGGGTTGTGAAGTTGGACTACTCCAGTGACAAGGTATTCATCACAATCGAAATGGCCACTTTACGGCGTTTAGGACGTTAATTCCTTGAGCTCTATGTTTGGTTTTCCGGTTCTCCTTAAGAACTCCAAGCAAAAGGGTCATGTTGAGAAACTGGTTCTGAACCACCAAGCCCAGGGTTCCAAGTCTAGGTCCCCCCAGAAATTGGTGCCAACTTTTACGGCTTCTTTTTTGGGGGAGGCTTCAAACCTACTAAAATAGACGTCCTGAAGAACATCGGGTACCCTAACCTCTAACCTCTCAAATCTGGAGGACCTAGTCTTTCTGCCTGCAGGCGTCTTAGCCTCCAAGCTCCACGTCGAAGCCGCATATGAAAAACCAGCCGCCAGGCGCAGCAGAAGAGCACTCCCATCATGGTGACACCGTGGCCAAGACGAGACGAGACGGGGGGAGGGTGATTTTTTGCCCGGCGGCGAGATGGCCGGGGCAGTCTCCATGTGGAAAAACCGGTCTCCACAACCCGGTTTTCTGGGGTAGACTTGGGATACGTTATACATTTTACCAGTGACTCAAAGTGAAGCAAACACCAAAATATACATGCTATAACTGGGTCTAACTCTAATCATGGTTTCCGTACGCTTTTTGGATTGCTGGCCTGGGTCTTTGACCTGAACTTTCTGGTTGAAAATGCTATTTTTCCCTATAGTTTTACCAGGGGACGTGGAAGAATTGGTGTTTCCGGCGTTCGCTGAGAAACTTTGGTTTCGGTGTCCCCAGGGCACTTTCGGTTTCAAATGCCGATCGATCCCGGCGAAATGGGATAGCGAGTGGCTACGCTCGTGAAGACCTGAAAGGATTTAGCCAACCCACCGAACCTGGAGGCCAGAGGCCGGCAACATGGTCTTCCACCCAGTCAGGTTCCATGACTACGTGGACATTGCTGCATGTTGCCAAGGGATGTTAGGACTCGACCACTTTGTTCCAACTACTGGGGGTTCCGAATGAAACCACTAGAAGTTATGCACTTTTAGCAGGGGAGCAGAAAGCAACCGAGAGGAGGGTAGGTCTCCGAGTTGTTTTTGTTTTTTTGTTTTGTTTTTTTTTGTTTTGTTTTTTTGGCGAAGAATCCTGGACCGTCGCATTGGCCGACCCAGCCGTGTTCGACGGCACAGGATGCGGGTTTATCAGGAATGCGGGTATGTTCTGGTGAATTGCCAGAAAAAGAGCGTCACTTGTTAGACCCCTTGAGGCTATTGTGTTCTCTTGGTGCACTGATGTGTCACAAAAACACGGGGGTGTATTTTTGAGGGTAGTCATTGGAAACCAAAAGAGAAGGGACCGGCTGCAACTGCAAAAGGCCTTCCTTTCTGTTTGCCTGGGGCCCTGGGTTTCAAAGCCTGATCGATTTGGTCAAATGGGAGAGCCCATCGCGTTTTCGAGGGCGCGTGAAGAGGTTGCCGGAGGCAACATAGGACCCCTCAGTCAGGTTCCATGTTGGAGGGGGGGGTAGGCCCCTGTTGTTTCTTCTTTTTCATGATGCGGGTGCGGGTGTATCAGGGATGCGGGTATTTTCTTGTGAATTGCCAGAAAAAAGAGCGTCACTTGTTGGACCCCTTTACGACAGTGTTGGCTTTTTTTGGTGGAGTGACGTTTCACAGGGACACAGGAGTGTGTTTTTGGAGGGTAGTCAGATCTGAAAAGAAAACTGCAAAAGGCTAGTTTGCACTGCCAAGACCCCAATTGCAAATATTTCACCACCAAGACCGGACGCGTGCAGGTATCGCCACAATTGGCTCATCAGCGGCAGCCACCGAGGAAATCAAGACGTGCGCCAGCCATGACATGGACGATCGCCATTTTGTGGAGTTTGGTCGCCAGGCAGACTTAACAAATGGCTGTGGGTCAAAACCGTTCTGGGATCCCATTTTGGGCTAGGTGCACCACCCATTTTAGGACCTTTTAGTGGGGATACTTTGGCTTTTTTGGGATGGTCATGCTAGTGGCAAACTCAAAGAACGGACTTTATTCGGCCAATCCACTCATGAGGTGAACATATACCCTGTGCCCTGCCCTCTGGTACTTGGGTCCATTCGTGGCTCTTCTGAACCTTGAGAGTACGATTTTCTGGGGGGGGGGGGGAAGTTCAAACCATTCAGGGTTTTGGCGGAAGGCTTCTTCGACGTGAGAATTTCGAGGCGCATGGCGCTGGGGCAGGGTTCGAGTCTTCAGCCCAAAACATCGCAGTTCGCGCGTTCTCAGTTCTCGGACTGCCAAACCTCTCAGCTTCCTAATTCAACTAGGTAGCGGCATCCGATTCACTGACTTCCATTTAGCTCAGGGTTGTGGGATCCCTCTTTATATGGGGAGTTGGTCTTTGGGAGGCCCTTTTTGTTGTATCACAGAAGTGGATTCCATTTCCCACAGCCCTGATTTAGCTGAAATGAAGAATCTGTTTCTTTGCCCCTGTTCACCTTGGAGTCCTAGGTCCCCCAGCAATTGGTGTCCTTCTTTCCCCGATTCTCTTTTTCGGGGGAGGGTTCCCCTAAAATAACCCACAGAAAAAAGTTGGTGCCCTTATTCTAACCTCTCTACTGGAAGACCTAGTAATTCAAGCCAATCCCGATCGCGTTCCTGGACTTTCTCAGATTTGGGATTGCCATGCCTTTCGCGTGTCTTCTTTTAATGAACCCCTCAAATGGTGCTTTTCCTTTCGGTGTTCCTTTGGGGTATCATCAAAAACATGACAGACCCATTTTGGTGGCCAAAGGTGTGGACTTCTTTGGCCAATCCACTCGATCGGAAGTGAGTAATTCAAGTCAATTGTGTCGCGGAGTTCGATCCCCGAAATGGCCATGGGTCAAAATCCCGTAGCCTTAGTGAACATCCCAATCCCCACTAAAACAGACTAAAATGGATGGTGCGCCTACCCCAAAATGGTACCATTGGTTTTGATCCACAGCCAAATGACTCCGACTGTCTCCAGGGGGCGTGGTACGAGTCCATCAAGGGAGATATCGTGAAGGCGTGGCTCCGGTGAACGCCTTGGGCTCTTCCGGCTTGGCATGCCATGCTTGATTGACTAGGTCCTCCAGCTAGGTGCCCTTTTACCGTTTTTTTTTTTGGGGGGGGGGAGGGGGAAGGGTTTCCCTACTAAAATTTACGTCCTGAGAAAAGTTGGTGCCCTTATTCTAACCTCTCTACTGGAGGGCCTAGTTGAGGGACGTTTCTGAAGCCCCCTTCACAGTTTCTATGAACTTTAAGTGGGGGCCCTGTGGAGAACATCGTGGTGGAATGTATGCCTACCAGCCACTCTTCAGAGGGCTCCATTTTGAGAATTATAGCCAAGTGACAAAGTGGTCATACGGATGGAAGTGCCACTGAACCGTATCAGAAAAAAGGCAGTTTTCCACACTTGAATGCAAGGTTGAATCTTTTACCTTTCACTTTCTGGTTGAAAGTGCTTGTTGTTCCTCTCGCAGCGTTGAACTGTTTAGGCAGGGGGAAAAATCGTCACCAAGTTCGAGGGTAACCCAGATCAGAATGGAACCCAAAACGAGGGTTCCGACCGGATGTTTGTCCTGCCCTCGGAGCTTACTTGAATTCTGAGTTAGACTTTCAACTTGTTGGGAAGACCTTCTCGTGTTTTGTAGCAATCCGACCCTCCCATATGGTTTCGGTTTTCCTTTCGGTTTCCCCTTGAACCAACCCAAAAAGGATACCAACTCCAAAATAATAGACATGTTTGTTCGGTGCCACTCCAAAATGGTGGTTATCCTTGGTTTCCCTCTACCCCAAAAAGGGTACCGAGCGTCAAACAAAAAGACTGCTTGGACTGATCCCGTCCCTCAAACATCGGTGATACCCTACACCTTAAAATGTTAATACCCCCGTCCCCAAAGTAGCCTCAAACATCGGTGATCGACAAACATTTGTTGGTTGGTGACTTCCTTTTCTTCTTTTCTTGGTAGTTGGTTAGTTGGTTGGCTGGCTGGTTGGTTGGTTGGCTGATTGGTTGGTAGTTTCGGGCTCCACATCCAACGTCTTTTGTCAGACCTTGGGCACCCTCTCCGGATACATGGGGGGCTGCCGAGCCTGCGCTCCCGTGCCGGGAGCCCCGAAATTTCTCGGTCGGCGAAATGCGGGAGGCTGATGCCTGGGCTGGGGTTTGCTGCCAAGATGTGGTGGGTCAGAACCATTCTGGGATCCCATTTGGGTGTGGGTCAAAAATAGGTACCCGAAATGAGCCCTGGTAAATAGAAACATGGACTAAAATCTGCGGCCCCCTAGTGGTTTAATTTTGACCCACACCCATTTTGGTTGGTAGCTGCACCACCCATTTCAGGCTTCCTATTTTAGTGGGGATTGGGATGTTCACTGGGGGCTACGGAATTTTGACCCGCAGCCATACGGCTGCCAAGATGTCCACCAAGGGCCATTTTCATATGTTCTTTGGGGCAGACCAAATATAACTATGGAACAGGGTCAATCAAGATGAGTTTCTGTTCAAGATGTGGTGCCAAAGTGTCAACATGCTGTCAGGCTTGTTCATCACTTCAAGCCCAACACGTAGCTTTTTCCGGCCAGGTCGTGTTGGCCGGGAACACAGGAAAGGGGTCTAGTGATGTCTTGTCACAGGGTCGTCTAGTCACTGGTCTGTGCTGAATCTTGAAGAACAAGTGGTATCAAGAGATGCCGACTTCGGTGGCTTGGCACTTGTTGGAATCAGAGCCTAGTGGATTCCGATTCACTGCCTTCCGTTTGCTGAAATGAATTATTTTGTTGCTTTTCCCCTGTTGGTCTTCAAGTTGGAGTCTACCACTCTTGGCAATATGCTAGGTCCCCCGGTAGTGCCCTTTTACCCCTTTTTTGGGGGAGGGTTCCCCTACTCAAATAGACCACAGAAAAAACGTTGGTCCCCTTCTTCTAACCTCTCTACCAGTATCACTCTTGCTAATATGTGTATTTCCAGGGAAGAAGCAAAAAGGGAGGCTGACAACCAGGAAGTTGGGCGATTGAGAAAAATTCACGCCAAGGCCATGGCAGTGATGGCCGGCCCGGGCTCCCGTGGTCCCGTGGCATTCCGGGTACTTCTTGGGATGCTTGGGTCTTCCTCGTGTTTTTTTTGGTCTTGGCTCCCAGCCATCCGGTCCCTTAGGCCTTGTGGCTTTTTAGTCTCGTGGTAGTCTCCGAGTTTTTATCCCACACCCACTGCAAGTTATTTTCACATGGCGGGGGATCCGAAAACGGGCAGCCCAGTTGTTTGTCGTTTCGTAGTCTCAAAGGGACCAATCTCGGACCCAACCAGTCGGAGGGATTTGTTTTTCCCCCATGGAATAGGGTTGATGACTTGGGGAAGCCATATGGGTATGGGTCAAAACTAAACCAGGGGCCTGCAGATTTTAGTCCATGTTTCTTTCCATTTACCACCTATTTTTCACTGACAGCCATATATTCAGCCAAAAAAGAGGTCCGTATCAGCTGGGTTTGACTTTCAGGGTCCAAGGCTGGCCCGGTGGAGTAGTTCTGTTCCTGTTTAGTGGGCGGCTACCCAAAAGCAACTGGTATGCATATGCATGCCGACAAACACAGATAGTTGCCAAACACATCTCATCTCATGGACATGTGTTTGCGTTGCCAATACACTCGAACTACTTCCGGGCTCCTTAAAAGATACATGTTGCAACCATTTGAAGCATGTCGCTTTTTATTTCCACCCAAAAAACAAGAAGGGTTGAAACCACATTGACAAGTTGCAATGTTCAGGTTGCATCCGGATCCCTGTATTTACCCCACTGGAGCCTTTGAATTGGAGAGCCCGTTCCCTCGAGACACCTTTGAGGTCCTCAACTAGCTCCTTGAAGGTCGAAAGCTGCACGAGCCAATTTGGACAGAGGATGAACCTTGTAGGACTTCCCCAGAATTTTGGCTCCCCTTTTCGCTTTTTTTGGCTTTTTTGGGGGGTTCCCTTTCTTTTCCACTAACCAGGCAAAACATGTATATATATATATGTATATTTGCTGGGGTCCTAATTCCAGCCAAGGTTATAGGTCTCCCTTGACGTAACCTTCTTGTAAGTGGACACACCCACTAACCACACTAGTTGACGCAACGTTGCAAGTGGAATCCAGGTGGCTAACCACTCTCAGCATCATTGAGTCACTAAGCATCATTAGAGGGTCTGACCTCGGCTTTTTTTACGGTCGCAAGATGACTTGTAGGCCTAGGTGCCCTTTTTGGTTGGTTCGCCTGAAACATAGAGGGGTTCCCCTGGTTTAGATGAGGGTTTGTCCCCCACGTACCAGGGAAACCCATCTATTTTTCCAACAGGCCATCTATGCTTGTAGGTCACTGAACCAGGCAGAGACTCGAATTTGTTTTCGACCACGAAGGCGAGCCTCCGGGCCTTGCGTGCTGAAGCAGCGAGGTTTCGGAAGGCAAAGGAAGTGGCGCTGTCGGGGGTGTGGGGCAGAGTCCTAAAATGAGCTTGTCTCAGGTTTTTTTTTGTTTTTTTGTTTTTTTATTATTTGTTCTATTTGTGTTTTTTTCCGGTAGTTGCCCCTTCCCCCAAATCGGTGGTTTTCTCCAAACGACTTTCCATCAAGACGGCCCAAACGAATCCGGCGGATCCCAACTTAGGCGAACAGGCCTCCAATTTTGGTGCACAGGCCTCGCTGCTGGAAGAGGCGTCTTATGCACTTCATGTATTTCTCGTGTTTCATCAGGCAAAGCTAGGCTGTACCCCAAGCACCCCGCCGTTCTAAGGGAAACGGTCAGGAATCCTGTCTCAGCCAAAGGAAAAGGCAGCACGGTTCCGAGGATGTTTGGGGAGATGTTCTTGGAAGTAAGCCCAAGCGGGTAATTACCCTGCAAAGAAGAAGCCGCCCGCCACGGACATCATCTCCCAGCTCGACGCGGGCATATGAATATGATTCACCCCTGGGCATTGAGCGCAGAAGTAAGCAAAGAACACCCCCAAAGAAACAAAACACACACACACACACACACGGAACGGGCCGTTTGACTACCCGATTGGGATAGTAAAGCCTATAATGATCTTTCATTTTTTGTGGGTACTTGTTTTTTCCTTTGAAGGGTTTAACCTTTTTTTTTCCCTGAGGGGTTTAACCAGAAAGGCGAACCACCATGCTAAAGGTTCCCCTAAGAGAGACCCACTAGGTCCCCCAGTAGTGCCCTTTTGCCAACTTTTTTTGGGGAGGGTTTCCCTACTAAATAGCCTACACCAAAAATGGTAGCCTTATTCTAACCTCTCAAATCTGGAGGACTTAGCCCATATAAACCTTTCCCACGTAACCAAAAGGCAATGAGTCTCTCACGGGCGGCCTCGAGGCTTCCCAAAAGCTTTTTCAGGACCTAACATATTAGGCTGTGAATGTGTATGTTATGTGCGTGTGTGTGTGACCCCTTTTGAAAATTCATTTTACGCTTTGAGATACGTAACCATGGTCTGCACCGCCTGATGTTGATTCTCTTGAGCAAAAGCTGCAGGGCATCCAGTCGGACATCATCTGAGAAAGCCTCTCAACGTGAGGGCCTTCTTATTGCAGACATGCCGAGCAGGTTCCCAAACAGGTGTCAAATGGACCGCCCTGTTTCGTGCATTGTTGGGCCCACCGGGAAAGCACCCTTGACCCTGACCTTTCCACTCCAGGAGATTTGTTTAGGTGTCACTCAATTGTCCAAAAGATTGGGAGACGGAACGCTACTTTGCCATGTTATGGGAACAATTAATACTATGTAGTTGCTGTGTTTTGCTTTTCACCCTGTGTTGAATGGTTTATGCCTCCATACCTCATGGATCAGAATCAATCATAGTCATTTTTGTTGGGGCAAAAGAAGTCATACACTGATTCACAGCAACGGAACCGGGTTTCCTTCATTTCCCCGTTTTGGAGACTCCAACAGCGGCGCTGGTTTGCATGGAAACCACCAGCAACTTGCGACCTTTGAACTCTACTGCTATTGGGTTGGATCTTTAGACTTTAACTTTTGGATTCCCTTCATGTTTCCTTTTAACCAGCAAAAAGTGTTTAACCTTTTGCTGGGGGATCTACAGCACCCAAGAGAAGAAACAAATCCAGTGACCCCTGCGGGGGCCACTCCGGTGCCAGGTTACCGCTCTCAGATTCCACGTGGGCGCACTTCGATCTCGACGAGAAAACTTCCAGCCGACGAAGCGCGTTGTGTCTGGTGAGAAGTTTTTCGGGGCGCAAACCACAACACCAGCGGTGGAAGAAGGGGCAGGTGATCCGCCTCCAGATTCAAAGATTCAGGTAAATGTTGACTGGCAGTTTGGATTGGCTTGGATTCGGATTTGAACTCCTAGCTTTGGGAGAGAGTACATGGGACACCACCAAAGAGAACCGCCAAACCACCGATTCGGCTCCAAACCACCAAGAAAATGGGAAGCTGAGAGATGGCCCTTTTCCGAGAAAGTCGAAAAAAATATGTGGGTGCTAAAGCCCAGTCTTCCAAATTGCACTTCGAGTGTGAAGTTTCAAGCGCTGGTGGGCCAACCGTGGGAGCGAAGCCTTCACAGAGTCCCCTCACCCAAATGTTGGTCCATTTTGGCCTACGACATGGCTGTCCTTGGGAAACAGAATATACATGTTTGCTTCTTGCAGTTTCGCGGGAAAAACCCTAAACCCTAAACCCTAAATGCTTATTGCAGTTTCGCGGGAAATCCAACCACTTAATTGCTAAAATATAAATTGTTGCTCCCCTTCGAACGTCAACCAAGACAAGGTGTGGGGTATGAGACACACTGTTCAGTCAGCTGGTTGCTCCACTTCCCTCCGCAAACTCCTGTGCGACATGTTTCTAGGGGTTGATTCCTCGTCCATTCTTTTCAACCATCGTTCTTTTCGAAAACCAGCTGTTTCCCATGGTTTTTTGGAGTTTTCTAGAAAGAAGGATCCCTGGAAAGAATGGACATGGAAGCCACCCTTAGAATGTTGCTACCATATTGGCGGCGCCAATCACCAATAGGCTTTGGGTGTATTGCTGTTTGTATCAGGTGTCGAATGTGGAAAATCAGATTGCAGCTTACAGGTGGGTTGCCTTTCGTTTGGCTAGTACCCTTTTTGTTGTGGTTTTGAAGGGAAGGCACAGCAAAGCCACCTCTTTTGGCGGTTCTTCAATTTGGAGACCAACCCGCGCTAGTACCCACCCGCATGAGCTTCAGTCAACAAAATCTAGTAAGTCCTCGGTCCATTTGGCTGGACTCGAGTTTCGACCGTGTGCATGGCTCAAGGCGAGGTAGGTTCCGCAGTCGGAATCTCTATGAATCACTCTTGGCATGTCGTGGTTTCTGCAATCACGTTGTTCGTGGGCTGCAAAAAGCTTTGTTGCATGTTGCTTGGATGTTAGGACTTTCACTTTTTGCCAACCAGTGGGTTTTCCATTAAACCACCAAAAGTTAAACTTTTAGAGCAACCGAGAAAAGGAAGCTTTGTTGCTCACATGCCAGGGCGAAGGTAGTCACAGGGATGTGACTCGTCTGTCTGAAGGGGTGTCTATCGAAGATCAGTTTTTTGGCGGTCGAGGAAGGCAAATCGATCGGCACGAATGTTAAAAGGTAAGAGTTATTTCCAAGTTCTTGGATCAAATAAAAAATATCCACATTTTGGAAGCTGCCCATTTCCAAGCGGAGCAAAAAGGGAAGGGCCCACGAGCCAAAGGTTTCAAGTTCTGCGTCTGCTCGGCCAAAAGTTGCCGGCCCAATATGACAAGGTCCAGCTTTGTGCCCTTTCTCACAGTTTCTTTTTTGGTTGGGAGGGTTCAAACCGATTCAAATAGACGTCCTGAAAAAGTTGGTACCCTTATTCTAAGCTCTCTACTGGAGGACCTGGGTGAAGACGGCCTGTCGGCATGTTGTAGGCCGAAGAGTTGCATCCTTTTCTTTCCGGCTCTTTGGCGGATCTTTGGACATGCAACTTTTTGATTGACACGTTTTCCGGATTTTCCGAAGTGGACCCACAAAAAGTGAAGCGCCTTCTTGCAGAGTCCGGTCAGCAACCAAGTTTCCACCCACGGCCATGGGCGCCGGAGCCGGGCCGCTTGAAACGCCGGGCCCTGAGGCTCTCGTTTTGCGAAGGCGGAGACGAGGCCTTTTTAGGGTGATCCCATCATGGTTGTTGTTGGGAAGCATTTTAGATTTCTGCTTTTTGTGGTTTAGTGGTTGAAATCCCCACTTGACTGCTAACATTTAAATTGTCGCTCCCCTTCCACCGTCAACCAAGCCTTTGCCCAATGGAATCTGTTGTGATGCACCCCGCGCTTAAACTGGATGGTGCCCAAAAAGGAACTCTTGCCATTTCTGCTGGTCATGTTTTGTTTTTTGTGCATCTCTTGAAACCATCCAAAAAGGAGCTTCGCTTCCAGATTTGACACAGATACGTACCCGATCTGGCCTCGAGCTTGTTTTAGAGAAGTAAATATGGATTTGGGGACTGACTTATACCATTAATGGCTCAGTTGTGTTTTGTTTTTGGCACTTTTTGTCGGTTCTGCTTAGCCACCTTTGTATTAGGCATACCCTCATGTTCATCCGTGGCTGGGTGTGTTGTTTTGTTGCTGAGGTCTGAGCCACGCAAAGGCTGGGGCGAAGTGGAGAGACACGGAGCTTGTGGCTTCCACCGTTGCGGGGCCCCTAGAGCCCTAGGGGCATGGCTCTGAATGAGATGGGTGTGGCTCAAAATTAAGCAGGAGGGGCAAACCGCAGGTTTTGGTCCAAGTTTCCACTTACCAGGGTGCCATTTTAAAACCGGTTTTTTGAGGCACAGCCAGATGCTTGAGACAGGGTTGCTTCGAGCTATCAAAGGACGATCACCGCAAAGAAGAATGCTACGAGCTGTCTTTTCAGACGATGAAATGCTAGACGATGGACCAACAGAAACCCCTTTGCATCGGCTTCAGCCAACATTTCGACCAAAGACCCATCGGGTCATATGAGAGAGCACAGCTGGGAGGTCGACGAGTTGACCGAGGATGGCCGCTTCAGCAATTCTTCATTCAAGTGTCGCGTTTCTTGCGATCGGTTCGATGGGCAGGGAAGGAGAAATGGAAAGACCCCGAAAACAACACATCCCTTGTGTTTGCCTTTGAAAGGGAATCCCAAAACTGGTTCGTTCCCAACAGGATTTTCCGGGTCATGTGGAATGTTCAGATTGTTTCTTGGGCACCCAGGATTCATGTAGCACAACTTGGTGGGATCAATAGGTGGGTTGCACCAATTTTTACAGGGAACATCCTGCCCATTTTGTTGGGGAAAGTCCATAGCCCCCCAGAAGGTTTCAGATGATTCTCCACTACAATTTGCTGGAGATTTGGCAATCAGACAAATTGGACCCTCAAGCTAAAGGGGAATACTCAGCCAAAAAAAACGTGGGGCGAGAGCTAACCCATTTTTGTTTGGATTTTTGAGGGTCCAAGGCTAGTGGGTCCAAGGCTTGGCCATTTCAAAGGAAGCCCGCGGAAAGTTTTTCGAGACTTCCATGCTCAGAGCCTCGAGGCTCCGAGCCCTCGAGAAAAGTGTCCAACTCCCTTTCCAAGGCTCCGGAGCCTCCCAAGTTGCTGGACTTGAGTGGCTGGGATTGGTGAAGCCATTTTGGTGGCATTTTGCCAGGTTGGGAATCACAGATTTTTTCGGCCATCCACTCGGGAAGTGAGGAACCCACACGAAAAAAATGCAGTTGAACGATGTTGGAGGAAATTGAGCACAAGATGTTGGCTCAGCATTGATTGGGACGTGTCTTTTCTCCGAGGACCCCTGTTTCAGGGAGTGTTCACAAAACGGAAAGAAAAGAACGGATTCCCCGCAAAACATGGGCAGGATGTTCTCTGAAAATTGGTGCAGCCCACCTATTGATCCCACGTTGTGTTATGCAAATCCTGGGTGTTCAAAGAAACAATCTGAACATTCCACTGCCGCAGGGCGATGCGTGTGCCTCGGTGCCGCTTCGCGCTCTTCACGGAGGCTTCCCCTACCTCGCTTTGGGGCCCTGGAATTTGGACTGGGTCCAGCAATTGGTGCCCTTTTAGCGTTTCTTTTTTGGGGGGAGGGTTCCAACCTAAAATAGACTGCAGAACAAAAGTTACCCTTATTCGAACCTCTCTACTGGAGGACCTAGTTGCATTGTCTTGCTGTTGCTCAGCAGGGAATGAGGGAGTGAACCTGGGGATTAAAGGAAATGAAAGGGGATGGTTTGTAGGGGTTATTCCCTCATTCCCTGCTGAGCACCAGCAAGTTTCTTGGGGAGGGTTTTGCCGCGCACCAAATGATCTGACAGCATCGCTACAAACAGAAAGGGGAGGTCTGCGGCATCGTGAATTGGAGGTCGATTGATTTGGGGCGGGGAGTGTCCGTTGAAGACTGCGAGAGAGGTCGTCAAACATATTGCTCTTGAAATGGAAATTACCAAAGACAAACTGCAAGATGTTGGACAGTTGTATGTTTTTCTCCACGAGAAGTGATTCCGAATTCTGTTTGTGAGAGGTGTGCCATATGCTAAACTTATATTAAACCACCTCCAGGAAAACTCGTCGAAGACCCAAGTCTATCGTAGCTGCAGTCTATTTGAGTGCTGAATTGCCCACATCGTTGCACTAGTTCTTGCTTCCAGATCACTATTATACTATTAGCACCCACTTGTGTCTACGATCCATTTACATGGCTGATTTGGCTGGAACCAAATTGCCCCTGACATCCTGTGGAATCGATTTCTCGTAAGTCCTCAGCGCGATGGGCAAAAACATGTGTGCTTTGTAATAATGATAAGAATGATAATAGTAAGATAATGATATGAACAACAATGACAAATATTTAACATGTGTTAGCCATTTTGTGAATTGGTAACAATAAGTAACGAATACTGATTAATAACAACATATAATCAACTAGCATTTATTGATCAATACTTAAAGACACCATGTATAGTGTTGTTTGACAATTCATAATTATTAGTAATATGTGTTTGTCATTATTGATACTGATTGAGTATTTAGGGTTTGTTATGATTGTTTCATCCTGAATTGATAGTATTAGTATTGTAATTGTTGATCAGTATTACTCAATGTGTGTTTTAATCATTGGTATTATTATTGATACTAGCAAAATTGATATTATTAGTGTTAATTATTCGTGTTATTGTTTCTCCTTAATGAATAAACACCATATCGTTTGTGAATTGTGGTATATGATGTGTGATTGATATTAGCATTAAAACTTATTACGTAGTACTTGTTGTTATTCCAATCAAGAGTGACTAAGATAGTTGCTATTATGAGTAAGCCTATTTACACGGGTTGAAAGTTTAGATTATTATTAGCACTATGCTTAATCAATTTAACTATTCAATAGTGTTACGAGCATTGTTGTTATTGATAATTGTCAATTAGTTATTATGTGTTGCGTGTTTATGCATATTTATTCATTCCAAAATACAGTTTGGATGCGGCTTTTGTGGATCTAATCCTGCGGAAAAATAAAAGAGTAGTAAACTATTACTAAGAAAGGACCAACAAGGGGAATCCAGGTGAAGTCCACAAAAAGCGCATCCGCGGCGTTGTCTAGATTGATGATTGATGATTATCCTATCATAATTATCAGTTTAGTGGTTTAGTGTTTATTAAGTATGTTGTTTTGTTTATGCTAATATGTGCTTTTGTGTTTGGTTGTTAGTTAGCTACTTGTTGTGTTTCTTTTAATCGATCGATGTATTTGACGGTGGTTGCTTGCTAGTTGCCGTTTCATTTAGTTCTTTACTTATTGGTTTTATCTTTACTTACTTATTTAGTTGCTTAGTTATCTAGTTTGTTTGGCTAATAATTTGTCTATGCATTGATTTAGTCATTTGTCTATGACTTTGTTTGTTTGTGTGGCTGTTTGTGTGTGTGGTTGTTGTTTTTTCTAACGTTTGCATGTGGTTAATTATCAATTTGTCAATCAATTGATTTGTTTGTTGGTTTGGTTGGTTTGGCTGGTAGATAGTTACTTAGTTAGTTAGTTAGCTAGCTACCTAGCTAGTTAGTTAGTTAGTGTTTGTTCATTGATTTGTTTCTTCTATTATTATGATGCTCATCATTCTTAGTAGTATCATTAGTACTACTGTTGTTGCGATTACTATTACCTATGAGTATGAGTGTTGTTAGCTGGTATAAATTTGATTATTATCATTACAATCCTAGTGTTGTTACTCATGAGAGTGGCTTATGGCTGTAAAGTCCCCTACAAACCCATTCTGCGCACTTCCCTTTGAGTACCCTTACTGGTTTCCTTGGTAGGCCGTCTCATAGTCGAGCGCGTCCAAAAAGAGTAGTTGAGCGTATGCTTCTTTTGGGACGCAAGCCAAGAAGGCCAATTTCGGGGCAAATGCTCAACGCACAGCGGCCCTGTTTAGCCAGATCACTTTTTCGTGGCAACAAGTCGTAGCAGAGTCCCAGTCCAATTCCCTTGCTTTACGGACAGGGCCACTTTGAAAAGCGCATGAAAGGGCACAAAGAAGGGCGAAACACGAGGTGTCGGGGTTTCGGTTTTGTCAACGACATCATTGGAAACCCAGGACAAGGGGCGCCAAACAAAGCTTTGTTGAGGATCGAGACTTGCGACCAATTAAGGCGACTCAACGATAGAACTGGGGTGAGTAGATCTGGGCTTCGTCTCCTTGTGACCATGGTTATACACCCAAGCTTGGGTGGGGGAAGTCTCCATGACTCTCTTGCCGGCCCCGGCCAGGTCAGCCAGGAGGTGCGGGAATTGAGCGGGGGGGGGGCGGGGGCGGTCATCTGTAATGCTGGCCCCGGATGAATTGCCCCCCCGCCGAACTCCCTTTTTAGTGGGGAATCCGTTTCAGTGGAACCCCAATAATTAAGAGCAGGGGGTTTATTAAGGGGTCAACATTACCCGGTGCTTTGAGTTGCTTTTTTCGTGGGTAGCCACAACAAGCAAGATCCTGTAGAACCTGAAGGTAGAGAACTTTGTTATTTTGTATGGTGACTGGACGCATGGGGGCAATCGCTTGGCATATCTTGGCTGAACTCGGCTTATCCGCAAGACGGCGGTCTTGGAGGTCCATGCCTCCCCATTTGTCCTGGAATTGATACCCCCAAGAAGCGTAATCTTGCTGGTGCTCAGTAGGGAATGTGGGAATGAACGTTTGGGGTCCCCTCAAAGACTACAATGACTTCCCATTTTGATGCACACCCATTTGGATGTGGCTATAAATGAAAAATCGTACCCGCGACAAAGACACACCCACGTATTTGTACGCATATGTGCACATATATGTCTTTGATATCATATTCACAACAATCATGTGTATGTTTCCCATTGGATCCCAATTACCTCTATAGTAGGCAACCAACCATTTCCCTCTTGGTTGTAAAAGGTGTGGTTACCTACTATACAGGGACATGGACTCACTGGGTTATAGAGCCTAGTTTGTTTCCGAGCCCATTTTCTGGTCTGCTTCCAATTCGGCCGATCGAACACGCGACCCAGCGTGAGCCAAGGTGCCTGAGCTCGTCGCAGGCAACACGAAGAGTTGGGCCGAGGGGCTGCTCCTTAGACCCAAATTGGGTTGCCATAGTCATCTAGGTCCCCAAGCTAGGTGCCAACTTGTACCCTTTCGTTTTTGCGGGAGGGTTCCCCTACTAAAATAGACTACAGAACAAATTGGTACCCTTATTCTAACCTTTCTACTGGAGGAACTAGTTGCCATAGTCATGGTCGACTTGCTGGTGCGATAGGGAATCACAACGGAGTCCGGGTTGTTGCTTAAAGGAAAACCATGGGGGATGTGTTTGTTGTTTTGTCATTCCATCATTCCTTGCTGAGAACCAGCAAGTAAGTGAAGGTTAGTACTTGGGTCTTCAAGATACTTAACTTGCTGGCTCCCAGCCATTCGGTTCCTTAGCTTTTTGCATTTTTAGTGTTTAGTGGTAGTTTCCGAATTCAACTCTGAAAGCTAGTCTCTTTTAGCGGATGCGCCTTTTCCTTGTCACCCAGTGAAGGGTTTTCAGCCACCCTTAGGGCCTTTGGGGGTTTGTTGCAGGTTTTGGGAGACCCTCCGTCAGACCCCGCCTTTGGGTGAGCAGAAGATTGCCTGGTTCATGTATTTCGGCCACATTGCACTTCAATTCGCTTCATGTATCCTCACTTAGCTTCATGCAGCCTCATTTAGCCGCTGACTTGAATGCAGCGGCACAAGAAGGCTGTGGAAGATGGGCATTTCCTGGATCGAGGAATTTTAGACAACCGCCACATTCTGTCATTCAACATCATTCAATGCTAAAAAATGCTTTTTCTCAAAAGCACATCCCTTAAAGGTTGGTTCTTGTTGGTTTCCCTTTGCATTGGCCAAGAATTCACGGTGGATCCTTGAGGATCCACCAAACCTCTCAAGACGTGACGTAAGTCCATCAGCCATGCCCGGCCGCATGGGAAAAGACCAGCCTCCAAGGTAAATGATGCCAGTGCCTCCAGGAAAAGGCACTTTGACATTGCAGTATGAAGGAAGCAAGGCCACCATATAGATATTTATATCTGAATATACATACATACATACATACATACATACATACATACATACATACATACATATATATATATATACAAGTGAAGGCGATGACAAAGTCGGTACTTAGAGGGCAGTTTGTATAAAAGGCGCATAAAAGGCGCAGCATTGTTTTTCCAGATGCCGCATTCGACATTGTGACGCACAGCTATGGCTCCAGCGGTGAATATTCATTGCCCATCGGCCGTTTTCGGTTCCCATTGGCCATAGGTGCTTCAGTTCCTCTTGGTTTTCAAAGAAGGTTATCATTTTCCCTGCTCCAGTGCTGTTTGGCAACGGAGCTTGGGACTTTATAAGCTTCTTGATTGAAACTTTGCGGAGGTTCCGAATTAGACCCACAAAAAGGTGGACCACTTTTTGCAGAGGGGTCCTTGCCGCCACCAAGCCCACATCAGCCTCTATGTTGATGTTACCTAAGCTAGGTCCCCCTGTGCCCGTTTACCCACTTTTTTGGGGCTACTAACCTCTCAAATCTGGAGGACCTAAAAAGTCTCAGGTGGCTGTGGCTCAAAAAACCGGAATTCCAAAATGGCTTGCCCTGGTAAGTGGAGACATGGGTTCCAAAACCTGCGGTTTGCCCCTGCTTAATTTTGAGCCACACCCATATTCTACCATCGTCTACAAATTCTCGGTTGCTTTCTGCTCCCCTGAAAGTGAATCACTTCTCGTGGTTTAATGGGAAAACGTCTTGGTGCCAAATGGCGCGCGCTAGTGAGACCTTTCGTTCGCAGATCCGCTGGCTTGGGCCTGCTTACAAGCTCCCGCGCTGGCGGATTCCTGCCTGTCGCTAGGCGCTTGCCTCGGGGGTCTGTGACTTCCAAGAAAAAGCCCGGCTCAGGTTCGCCTCATACAAAAGTGGTCCTGTGCTTCATGGTTGTTGGGAAACATTTTACATTTTTGCTTATTTGGTTTAGTGGGAAACCCCCACTTCACTGCTAAAACTTATTTTGTTGCTCCCTTCCAACGTGAATAGGGGGTGGTGCCCCTGCAAAATGGATGAACCCGCACGAAAAGACAAGAGGGAATTAATCAGGGCTTTATTCATCCCGGGGTTCCCATTGCAGGAATTTCTACAGGAAATCCCATGTTGCTTAGTCGGTTTGGCCAATTTCACTGTGATTTTTCCTGTATAGTTTCTATGATCCATACCTATTTGAGAACACCATACCATGTGACTGTGGGTTAAAACCAATGATACCGTCTTGGGGTAGGCACCACCCATATTAGTCTATTTTAGTTGGGATTGGGATGTTCACTGGGGGCTAACCGGTTTGGATTTTGACCCACGGCCATGTTAGTAATGAACATAATGTTTAGACGTTCATCGGCCCATGCACTCAGGCAGTGAGCCGCCCTATGTTCCGAGACGAATTCCGAAGTGAACGATGGTTGGACACCAAGCAGCCCATGGTAAGTGCCCACGCGGGTTACCAGGGTTCTAACTTAGCTAAGTCCCGGACCTAGGCAAAGACTGGCTGCTCAAGGGCCGTTTGTCCGTGGCAGCGAAAAACATGGAACCCTTCATACCCATCGATTTCGGAGGAACTTCCTGTTTTGAAAGCCCTTTCGGGGGTCCATGAGGACAACATGAGGATGTCAACTATCTCTAAAAAAGTCAGAAACACTGCCCCAGAAGGGAAATGGGGTGGGGGAAGCTTGATCTAGTGAGTGTCTTAAGGCTTTATGCCGCAGCATCCTTTGGGAGTGGTCCTTGCGAATGGTTTTGGGACAAACGTTTGGCGCACATCCATTCCTTTCGGGGGTGATCCATTCTCTATGGAAGAGGCTAGCATCACAGTTTGAGCATTGACTCATTCTATCGAAGAGGCTAGCATCACAGTTTGAGCATTGACTCATTTAGGTGTCCCATAGCATGTCAGATGAGCCCTGCTCAAAGTGCCTGCATCGTGAACTCTTGAGGGCTCGTCAGCAAAAGTTTGGGTTGGCTGCGGTCAGTTGGAGTCATCTTCTGCACAAACTGTCACGAGCTCACTTGGGACATACGAGCTCTTTATGTCTGATTTATGACTCATAGCATGTTGCTCAGTATCGTGTCCGTTTTGCCTTTTCCACTGTTTGTGGGACAAACAAGCAGCCCCCCCTGGTAGTGTAGAAACCCTTTTCCAGGGAGGCTGCTCATTTCAGCGGAGAAGGCATACCCCGTCCCCTTTTGTACATCCCAGTGTCTTGGTGTGTTCCAGTTGCATCAAGAAAGTCGGCCGAGATGACCTTGGTGCTTGATGCCGCGAGAAAGCGAAGAAGGGGCCACCGAACGGTACGCGAACAGTCCGCCACGTCCGCTTCCCATGCACTATCGGCATGTCCACTAAGCCAAACTCAGGCGCAACACCCGGCAAGCTCGCCCCATGAAGTCCGGAAGCCCACTCAACTGTGTTCAGCACTAAAAAGGCCACTAAAGCACAAATTCCCTAAAGGGCCCGCGCAAGGTGATGGCTTGGGTTTTCCAGACCCCCTAGCACAGGCCAAGATCCTCCGACCCCGGGAGAGAGTTGGGGAATGAAGCTATGAAGCTATGAAGCTTTGTACTCTGGAAGTTTCTCAAAATAGGGCTCCCCTGTTGGTCTGGTTTTGGGGGGAAATCCCGTTTCCCCCCAAGCAAAACCCACCTGCACCGGTCAATTGCAAAAAACCACAGCCGGCTGAGGCCACTAGGTCCCCCAGCGAAAGGGTGCCAACTTTCTCACCGTTTCTTTTTTGGTTGGGAGGGTTCCAACCTACACAAATAGACGACAGAAAAAAGTTGGTACCCTTATTCTAACCTCTCAAATCTGGAGGACCTAGTCTCAAAAAGACAGCCGACTGATGCCATAGCACTTGCGGAATCCGTCTTCCCGCACCCAAATTCGCCCGCAGGCGCCGGCGCCCTTCGGATTCTTCCGCAACAAAGTGAGGCGACTCTACGCGGGTCGCGGATGATCTGTCAATTGTTTGCGGCGGGGGGAAAACGAGCTTGCTAATGGTTCGATAGGCAGGGAATGAGAAACGGCATGAAACCATAGGAATTACCATGGTTCGTTTGTATTTACTTTGGGGAATCACGCAGGATTTCGTCCATCCACAGTATGATGCCGCTTCCTGCCTTGAGCAATCCCTCGTTTGTAGGCAGCCAGAATGTGCCCTGTGACAAACCATGAATATGTCCATCTTTGAGGAAAGTGACGGTTTACTGACGAATTTGCTCAAGCTACTTTTTCCCCGGGGGTCGAGATCCACAAGTCGACATCTCAGATGCGAGGTCCCAGCCACCTGGTGGCGCCTTTGTGTTGTTGCATATGTATTTGTGTGTGGGGTTCCTGTAATTTTTGACAACCACGAGAAAGAATCAGGTAACCCTTAGTTGCCTTGGTTGGATTGGTTTGGGATTTGAGAGAGTAAATGGGAAGCCCCTCCACCACCAAACCAGCGATTCGGCTCCAAACCACCAATTGGAGAGAAGATGAAAGACTGATGAAGCAGCATCCGAAGATCTGTTTTTGTTTGGATCTCCAGCTACCCACGACACAAGATGCAAGTTTTTTGTCGGGTCGAAGGGTGGGGGGGACATGGTTCTTGTTGGGAAACATGTTTCATTTTTGCTTCTTGTGGTTTAGTGGTTTGGATTTCCAACCACTGAACTGCGAACATTCGAGAATGTTTGCTCCTCCGACGTCAACCAAGCGGATTTCTGTGAGGTGCTTCTGCTCTTCGAGAAGGAGGACTTCTTTGCGGAGGAGCATTTCCTCGACGTAGAGAAGGAGGCCTTCCGCTTTGGGACTGACTGAACCCGGAGCCTCGAGCCCGGTGTGAAAGGGGTGGTTTCGCATCTACCCTCTAAAAAGGGTTTGGGGTTCAGTCCCCAAGCCAATCCCAAGCACTAGTTGGTGGTTTGGAGCCAGAGCCGAATCGCTGGTTTCGATTCGGAGTACTGCAGGAGGGTAAACGGAAGATTAGGGAAAACCAGCCCCTTGCCCTAAACCGATCGGGGGGAAGCTGAGATTCCCAAACTTGGAGCCGAATTTGTGGTTTGGTGGGGTGAACTGGTGTCCCATCTACCCTCTGAGAATGCCAGCGATTCCGATCTCGAAACCAATTTAAACCACCAAGTAAGAGTTGCCTTCCATTTGCTTGAGAGTACGTTTATGTTTTTCCTTTGTTGTCTTTAAAGGGAATGTATCACTATTGGAAACATGTTTGTGTGTTTCAACCCAGGAGTTAAGCAAATGGGGATTTCCTGACCAGAGGTGTCCATTGTCCGTTCTCCGGATTCAGGCTTTGGGTGGTTTCTTGCTGGTGCGATGGGTAGGGAATGTGGGAATCAACCCAGGCGTTGGTTCCTTTAAAGGAAACCATAGGGGATGGTTTATAAGGGTCATTCCATCTGCCGAGCCTAGGCATTCCCTTTAAGGCAAGGGATGGTGTTATTTGTTCATTCCCTGAGAACCAGCAAGTAGTTTTGGACATCTTTGGCGCCAGGAAGTAAGCTTTTAGTGCAAAGTTCAATTCTTTTGCTGGCCAATCCACTGAGTTCCTTCCTTTTTCTGGCCAATCCGCTCAAGTCAGCCGCGCCAGGCCCAGTTTTCGGCGCGCCTGGCGCATGACTTTGCCGCCGACGGCGAGGGGCGGGACGGGCGACTGCTGGCGGGCAGCTCCTGGCTGGTCTTTGAGGCGCCTGAGGCGCTCAGGCGCGGACGCGGTCCTCTCCCACCCTTTGCCACGGCGAAGGGGGGTGACCAATATACGACAAAAAGGAAGCAACAAGCATCTAGGAAATTAAAAAAACTGTGGCTCAAAACCAATGGGATCCCATTTTGGGGTAGGTGAATTCGGTTGGATTGGGATCTTCACTGGGGGTACGATTTGGATTTTGACCCATGGCCACGTTGCCATGGCGAAAGGAGGTGACCAATATACGACGACAAAAAGGAAACAACAAGCATACAGAAAAGAGAAAAAAGAAAAGAAAAACACGCAAAAAACTGGCTCTACCATGGCGCCTGACAAAGGGTTCCATTCTTGCGGGTGCCCTTTGTCAGCTGCAATGGTGGGAGGAAGGATACTTGGGTGTTCAAGTTAGTTAGTAAGTAGATGATGGCAATGAGATTCTTCTTTTTGGGGGAGGTTCAGCCACCCACCAAGTTGGTTGAACACCAAAATTGGGCGGAAGTGATTAAGCACACCCTCATGAGTATTCAATATATGCAGTGCGTATGTGTATCTTAACATAACGTAAATGTGGCCTTGACCCAATTAAAACTGCTCGGATTGTACAGGAACTTGGTGTATTGACGTTAAACGATCATTTACTCACCTCTCAGCATATCCTGAGCAACCATGACTCATTGTGGAGTTGATTGTTTAGCGAGATACTCTGTTATATTGTTTAGTTCTATCTCGGGTTAGACCGTTTCGGGAAAACACGCGTGGTTTTTGTCATTCAAATTATTTTGCGTGTGTGTGTGTGTGTGCTGTTTTCTTTGTTTTATTTAATTCGTTCAACAGTTGTTCAAGTTGATTTTGCGCCCATGATGCTGGTCCGCTTTCAGGGGCAGGAAACAAGCTTTTCGTTGGGGCCGCAATATGTAGGTTAGATGGGGCTGAGGGGTCCCTCAACACCACCCTACGTTCTGATCATTGGGAAAAGCGCTATGAGTGATTTGGTTTGAGGGTACGCCTTTTTGTGGTTTTGAAGTAGCACCATGAGGCAAAACACAGTTTATTTTATTTTATTTTATGTTATTTTTGTTACATTTTTGTTTGTTTGTTTTTTTTTTTTTGGGGGGGGGGCGCCCCTGAAAACAGACACACTCAGAGATGACATTGTAATTTGGTGAGCACCGCATGCCTTTCTGGCTGAGCCAGTGCCCGTCTATCGCGTGGAGCCCTTGGGACCTTTTTAGCCCCGTTTGATAGTGACTGTTGTGCCAGTGACGAACAGGGCTCACATCCTGAGTTCCTGGACTCTAGTCACTTTTTGGGTTTGGACCATTTTACTTGGTAGCTCCCAGCCATCCGGTTCCTTAGCCTTTTAGCCTTTTTTTTTCTGTTTAGTGGTAGTTTCCATTTAACCCACTAAAGCTTCAACTTTTTGCGGGGGATCCGAAAATGGGCAGCCCATTTTAGTGGTGAATGCAAAGTTTGGGAGCTGTGTTTTGGGGCATCCACTCGGGAAAAGTGAGAGACTTCTGAAACACTCCCGGCTCAAAGACCAATCAGAGAAAGCTGTTCATTGCATGCCTGAGCCTTGGAATTTGGACTAGGTCCAGCAATTGGTGCCAACTTTATCACCGTTTCTTTTTTGGGGGGAGGGGTCAAACCTACTAACCAGAAAAAGAGTGGGTACCCTAACCTCTAACCGCGCAAATCTGGAGGACCTAGCAACAACCCTGATTTCAGCGAGATTCGGAGGAATCTTGTTCCCCTTCTTGCCATGTCCAGCATCAAAGACTCGCTCTCAAGTTCTTCGCCCTACTGTATTACACCAAGTGAGCCACAATCGAAACCTGGGTAGATGAAGGCTAGTAAGGGACAATCCCAGCAATAAATAGCTGCGGCCGCCTTCTTAATTCTTTACATGGTTCTGGGTTCACAATTTTGTACCAGGTTTTGATTGTGACTCAAGTGCAGGAAGATAGGTCTTGTATAAGCAGATTACAAAGTTCGTTGCCGCGGCAATTTCGCGAGGTGGTCAAAACCCGTCCTGACCGTCATCAACCTGAAGGGACTTGCAGAAAGCTAAAGAATCCTATTCCCTGCCCTTAGCTGACGATCAGAGGGGTTTTGAAAGGCGCGTTGCGATGAGAAAGATGACTTGCAGAAGCATGGCATGTGACGCTAGCATTATCCTTGTTTTCCCTGCTTTCCCTTTTTGTTCTCCTTCCCCAACTCCTTCTTCACGATTTCCTCTTTTTTGTTCTTTGTTATTTGTTGGGTTCTCCTGTTTCCCCCTTCGTCCCAGTACTGCCCAGGGCACAGGCAAAAGCGCGGCTCAGACTCGACGGATCCTCGGGGCGCTTTTGCGCCATCTTCTTTGAGCAGGCGCCTTCCGGCTCGACGGCCTTCGCTCGTTGTCTATGTGGGCCAACACCAATGGTACCGTTTTGGGGGATTGGTGAATTCACCACCCGTTTTAGTCCATTTTAGTGGTTGGATTGGGCTGTTTACTGCAAGTACGGGCTTTTGACCCATGGCCAAATAGGTAGGTAGGTAGACCTGGCCAGAATGAGATTGGGGTTCCCAAGTGTCCAGTGTGCATAGCTATGTCCCCAAAGGAGCAACCAAAAGTCCTCCAGCAATCCTCGGTTTTGACATTGCCAGTTTCTCCCCATCGTGTTTGTTTCTCCCCGGCAGCCAGAATCAGAGCAGCCTGCAGCGGGTCGTGGACGTGCTCTTGGAGGCTCCCGGACCTTTCGGGGGGGGGGGGGGCCATGGTCTCCTGCCTAAAGGTCAGGTCTGGTTTTGCGCTTTTGTTGGAGACCGGGGCCCCAGAATGGTCATGGGGAACCTTGTCAGAAGGTTTCAGGGTTGGGAAAACAAGAAGGACAACTCCAAGCTGATTGAACACTCACCGCGGGAGGGGCGGGAGAACCTGTCCCATTTGTACGAGGGTGGGGTTTCAGGGTTCAGGCATTCTTTTGTGGATTTCGGGGGCCACAGTTTGGCGTTGAATTGAAATTTTCAAGGAAACAGTGTCCCTTCAATGTTTTTTCAAAGCTGGGTGTACGTCGGGGCGGGGGAACGGGGGCCTTTTCAGATGCGCAGAGTGCTTGTGCGTTTCCAGCCCCGATGCCTGGCATTGGAATGGTCAAGTCAACCATCCCAGTAGATCTCAGGCAAGCCACTATGGCAGGTACCAGACAAACTTCCTTTTGGTGTTTTGAAAGGATGGCAAGCCCTTGGAGACCTGTACAGGTAAATAGAGTCGCTGGGCATAAAAAATATTCTTAGACTCGTGACTGCCCACATGGACACAAAAAAGGGCCCGTGACTGCCCACGTGGACACAAAAAAAGGGGGCGGGTTCAACTGCGACGCTCTGCCGTGCGATGCCGTGCAATCGCACGGATGACCTGGTCCCTTGGGATGCCCTTGGCCAAGCCTTCATCTTTCTCGCCTTAGGATCTGGCCCCCGAATTCCCTCAACCGAATTCAGAACTCAAATATTCGACCCATTTTCGGGGGTACCTCATTCGAACCATTTTCGAGGGCCCCAAAAATAGTAGGTAACAATGAATGTGAACAAGAGGATTTGTTCTTGGCCGCCCTTGAGTTTCACATGCTGAGTCCTTCCAACGACCTTAAAGCAAGTCCTCCAACTAGGCCTCATTCACTTGGGGGGTGGCAATTGGCCCTGAAGAGGGGCGAGGGTTGGATGATGCACCCAAGAAAGGATAGAGATGGTTGCGTATGTAGTGAAAATACCATTTGACTTGGGGTTGGTTGGCACCATGGAACAAAGGAATTCTGACATGCACGGGAAGGAATCAATCAAGGGAACCATGACCATAGCCCATCATTTCTCACCAGATGTTCTCAAAATCGCCCCCTGCCCCGCCCTGAAACAGAGGGATACAATAGTTTAGGGTGTCACCAAGCTTCTGGCTGTTTTCCCTGAAGGTTTTGCATTTTTCAGGTGGTACCCCAAAGTTTGCACCACACATAACGTCGCGCTGTAAGACTACCAACTCCGCGAGTTCCTTTTTTTCCACTTTTTGGGAAGTCCAGATTAGTAACAAACCGCTCAGGAAGCAAGACTAGTCTCCAAAAGGCCCGAGCCGAAAGAGGCCGGAGATGGAGCTCCTTTGACGAACATCAGGATTTGGGCGCTGAAACTCGCCACTGCGTTCGGTGTGGTCGAGAAGGGTGGCTCAGCGCGGCGGCGAGGACTCGCCCTTCGGTTTGGCTGCCTGCGGCTCGGTGAGTCCCGCAACCAGCTCAAGAGCACAGGGAGCCGTTGATTTGGAGACGCGATCTTCATGCGCTTCAGTTCAAGTATTTCCGCTACTGGAAAAGGATGGCACGCGAATCCACTCAGCAAAACCTGCTATTGAAATTGTGTTGATATACGAGGTGAGGGATATCGAACAGGTTCCGACTGTTGGTCTCTGGGTCACATTTCCAAAGAATGCTCCTCGGCATTCCTTACCCTTGCCTGCCCTTGCCACTGATAAAGCACCTCGCGCAAGATCAACCATGACTTCCGTCCATTTGAGTATTACAAACGAGTCTAGATATCCTGAAAGGATAAAAGGAATGGAGCATAGCTTTGAGCTTTGATATCTTCATGAGGCTTCCAAGTCAAGACAAACACCATGCTCCATTTACCTTAGTCGTGATTCACCTGTAGCCTGTCGAGACTCCGAAACAAAGCAACCACTATTCCGCAATTCATAGGGGAGCAGGGGCCAGCCCACGTGTAAAGCCGTGATGAGTGTGTCTAAATGTCGCCCCTTCGTCCGAATTCGACGCTGCCCCCCCCCCCTGCCTCTCCGGGCAAACAGCCATCCACCAAGTCGCATCAAGAGCTCATCATTCTCACAGGAACCCAGCATTTTTTCTTTCTGGAACTTGCACGGGGTATACTTAGGATACATTTTACATTTTACCAGTGACTCAAAGTGAAGCAAACCATAAAGTATACATTCTATAACTGGTTGCCTAACTCTAATCATGACATCATATTGTCAACCCCAAAACTCAGCCCTGAAGAACATATCGAGCTAACCCCTGAAGAACCTGCAGCAGTCCTGTGAGCCCTCCTTGGAACAAACCTTGACTGCTTTTGGGTTGGATCTTTAGACTATTGTTTTTCGGAAATCAAGGGGGGTTTCCACTAACCCCACAAAAAGTTAAACTTTTTGCAGAGGGATCAACAGCAACCAAGAAACCTCTCCAAAGAGCTTAACTAAGGCGAACCCTACTTGATTGATTCTATGTCCCCCAGCAATTGGTGCCAACTCTTACCGTTTTTTTTTGGGGGAGGGTTCCCGTAAAATAGACGTCCTGAAAAAGGTGGGTACCCTTATTCTATCCTCTCTACTGGAGGACCTAGGCTATTCGGTGAGATCTTTAGACACTAACTTTGTGGTTGAGAAATTTTCTCGGGTTTCCGAAATTCCCCTGAGTCAGCACAATGAGGACTTTTTGGAAGCCAGAGTAGCGACAAGGCCCCAGCAAGAGGAGTGCCTCATTTCGCAACTCATGTGTCTGTTTTCAGTCTGTATTGAATATGTCAGCGTTTTTCTGATTGGTGGTTTGGAGGCCGGATTGTTTGGTGGTGTGAAAGGGGTGGTTTTTGTTTCCCATATACACTCTAGAAAAGCCAGCGCCCCCTGAATATGGTGCTTGTGAACGCCAGAAATGCTAAGCTTCCCTCAAACACTTGCAACTGCCATGGTCAAGACTCCTGAGCCATGTCAATGCTTTCGTACTGGTTGTCTAAACTAAGACATGGACCATACCTGCCCCAAGTGAGGGCATAGGTGGCGCAGATCAGTTGAATTAGTGGAACATCGATTGTGCAGTGCCATCTACTTTTCTTGGGTTCGGAATGGAAATGGAAGGTACCCCTCGAATTTTAGAAAGAAATACCACCGTGGCACATGGAACAATGGCGCAGGTGTTTCTCTTTTTTTGCGGAAAATTCCCGCCAGGCGGGCCTCGACGTGCACTCCGTGGCGAGCATGGAAGCCCGTGTGGCGGCGCAGGATGTGGAGGACGTCTTCGGAAGCTCGACGCGCCGCGCCTCGAACTCGTCGAACTCGACGGTGCTTCCAAACATCATCTTTGGTGCATTCCGCCAAGGGATGTTGGGGCTTTAAGACTTTTTGGCAACGAATTTGGGTTTTCCGATGAAGCCACGAAAAGTTATTCGCTTTTGGCAGGGGAGCAGATTTCGCAACCGAGTTATCTCTTCCTGAGTTCCTGGACTGGGAAGTCGGAAGACCTGTCCACTGGTTTAAAGAAAAAACAGTTCGGACTTGCTTGGGGCCATCCGCTCAGGAAGCGAGGTCTGCGAAATGGGGGCTAGATAATTGCAGAATGTTGCAGACGTTCTTTTCCGAGCATGACTGAGCTGGGTGTTGCAGCCCCATCCCCCTTTTTTTTCTTGGGTAATTCGAGGTAAGTTGAATCCTGGGGTAGACTTAGGATATATTTTACATTTTACCAGTGACTCAATGCGAAGCAGGCAATACAAAAATATATTCTATAACTGGTTGCCTAGCTCTAATCATGAATCGTTTGGGGAGATTGCAGTATATATATATAAACAACGAAACAGCAGGCTGCAGGGCTGCAGGGTCACTCGTGCGGGGTCTTCGCACTTCTACCAGTGGCCGGGCCCGGACAGCCCGCGACAGCCCAACCAGCGGACGGGGCAGTAGACAAGGGTGGAACTCAACTAGGTGCTCCAGCGAGGTGTCCTTTTACCAACTTTTTTGGGGAGGGTTCCCCTACTAAAATAGACTACAGAAAAAGAAGGTAGCCTTATTATCCCTTATTCTAACCTCTCTACAGGGGGTCCTGGTCAAGAAGATGCAGGGATTGAGCGAGAAAAAGGCTGAGTCAACCTCCGGTGTGCTCTTGACAGCATCAGCTGCAACAACAAGATGCAGCTGCGTCATTGTATTTCAATTGAACGTTCGATTCCTATGGGCTGGGGCCGCTGATCTGAGACATGCTCTGATATTGGGTGCTCGCTCACGCAGGCACCCCCGGAGTCTGACAAGGACCTGGACTTGTTTGAGCGAAAGCGAGGCGGCGCTCATTTGGGCTGAGTATTCACAACTGTCTTCGTTGATGCATCACACGCCACCTTTTCTTTCAATTCTCGGCGGCTCCCTGCACGCCAACTGGGCCACAAAAAGCACAGAGGATTCATCAGACGGGGTGCAGCAACAATGATACACATACGCGCAAGAGGTCCAGCAAACAGATGAGGCTTGGTCAGGTAGTCTATGGACAATTTGCCAGACCCTACTTGTCCAATTTGCACTCCTGAGCCGCGACTCGGCATTTGGTTTCTAACAGCCAAGGTCCGGAACCCAAGACAGCTTTGACTGGCAGGCGTCGGGATCCAGCTGCGCGGCGCATGACAAGATGAAAGAAATCGTCCAGGCAATTTTTCGCAGGTGCTATGTTTGTGAGGGGAAATGTAGTGTCCGCAATTGGGCAATTTTGTGTGAAGAGAATGGTGGCGATGGCATATTCTTAAACTCATGTGTGCGCCAAAGTCGACAACGTTTGGGGACTGTGGCTGGTGGGCAGCGACCTTAGGTTTCGTAGGGGCCAATGTCAGGCTTGCTCACTGGTGATTTCTCGGCTGAGGAAGCTTTAGGCTCAAGTCATCTAGGGTAGAACCTTTCCAACGCCCACCCCACATCCTTGTCATAAGACATGTCGCCATTGCTATTGCATCAATTGTTTGCATTAGCATTGGGAAAAGGGCCCTCAAGTATCAAATCCCTGTAAACTGCAAGCACTCAGAGGCTCACGGGAATTCAAGCTAGTTGTTTTTTGACGTGGGCAGAGGTTCGTTTTTGCCGCCGCCGCAAACTGCAGGTCCCCAGCTTCCGCAATTTGGCCCACGGCCTGCCAGGCGAAGGGCCACGACATGGTTTGTGTGTCAAGAGCTCCTCCGGAAAATGGTGCGACATGCAACTGTGGCCCGCGGGTTTGAGTTGTATCTTGCAAATGGGCATGCTGCTCCACCAAGTCCTGAAGATGTCGTCAAAGTCGTCTTCCACAAGTCTTGAGGGATGCCGCCAAGCTTGTACAGTACTTGCTGGCAATGTCATGCTTGGGTGTTGAATTTATCCGGGTAAGTGCTTAATTGCAAGCTAAAGCTGTCAGCCTTACCCGGGCGGGAGGATGTGGAAATATTCCCTGTTGACGGAAGCACTCAAAGCTGCACTGCATACCCACCGGACCTACGAAGCTGAAACATGTAACATGTTGGGCATGCTGTGCGACATTTGGGAATTCTTGCGCAACCTTCCCGCCGCGCTAGACAAAAAGCAAGCCGAACAACAACACAACACAATCCTGGCCTACCATGGTTTGCTTAAAGCCTTATTTCATATACTGACTAGGATCCAAACGGTAGCCATTGCAAATCCAATACTGTCTACATGCATCTACCCCCCCCCTCGCAGAGGAAGTTTCATCTTCTAGGCCTCCTGTCAATGCCACACTGCCCCAGCCTTGCCACCATGAAAATTGGGTCTGTGAATGAGTGTGTGAGGAAACCTCTTTTCTACTTCATCATCAATCCACTTCCCCAGAATGTAGCATGGAACTGTTCGACCACGAGGTCATCGATACTATCCTGCGCATTCTTGCTCCAGTGTCGGTGTGCTGATGTGGAAAAGGGCCCCGGCCCCTGGCAGTGTTAGTGTACCACCATTGTGTTGCTAGCAGGTCCTCTTCGGAAGAAGCATCCTGTAGTTCGCCAGAAACCCTGCGCGTAATTCCAGAACAGTGTGCTCATCGTACGGCAGGTCTTGAGCAACTCCAGATTCCTCATTTGACATCATTTCCCGAAGTGCGTCAAGTCCATACCCACCTCCGGTACATCTTTTCCTACCATTCTCATCCGCATGTTCGAACATGTCCCACAAAACCCCCTGAAACCAAGATCTGCAATCGGCAAGCTTGAATGAAAGCTTTGCCAATCCTGGGCTGCCAGTAATATGTCTCTGCAAAGGCTCATTGTAAGACCAGTGACCCTTTTGATCTTGACACTGGTGTCCAACGCCAAGTTCTGCAGGGTGGTTTCATTGTAATGATCCATATCCAGGCAACGCGCAAGCCTGATGATGTCAATAGACACTTCGTCTTTTCTCATGCTTCCCCCTTCCCCCGTAGTCGTGGTGGGGTCATTCCCTTATTCCCTACTGAGAACAGCCATGTCATGAACTAGAATCCCCAAGAGAAGCTTCACTGCGGGAATCCTGCAGTTTGTGACAGCGCCGGTCAAATGGAAGTGTCTTTTTTGAGCGTGCAAAACCCACTAGACCAGTTGGTCAACCCAAACGGCAAAAGGCCTGGTGGTTTTGGCTGGGCGCATCGTTTTCAACTACGCATGCTATGCCGGAGATTCAGAGGTATCCTAAAACCACACGTCCTTTCGGGAAGGCGCTAGGAATTGTTTTGGAAGACGGGTGCGGGCCGCGGCTTTGACTTCATTGCACCCTGTAGGGGGCCGGCGGCAATCAGTCCAAACCCAAGTGACCCAAGTGTCCCCGGCTCGGGTGAAGTCCGGTCTACCCAAAGTAGAGCCGTGTAAGAACAACAACCCCCATTCACGTGCGCAATGGTCAACATACCTTGTTATGGGGGGTGACTAGGGCCGGTTATCAATGCTTCAAAAAAGGATTCTGGGCACCACTGCAAGCGCTGGAGAAGAATCCATGACATTGCCGCGCAGAAGGTTTTTTTCCATGGCACACATGAAGGCTAGAGAACGGTCGCCTTGGGGAGTATCTGTGAGCTTCCGCCGCAAGTGCTTGTGCTCTTCTTGCTGCCAGAGGGTTGCCGCCAACTAGCTTCACAGAGTGGGATCTTGAGCACGCTGCAGCGCGGGAGAAAGCATGGTATGTTTTAGTTGGGGATTGTTCGAAGCAACGTATTTGTAGCATGGTGGTTTTTTGGAGGGGCTGGCCCTATCAGCTTCGTTTCGTGTTCGATCCTTGTGGTGATTGCAGTGACCTGCTGCACAACGACTCTTCCCAGCAACTAGCAACAAGTAGTTTGCGGCAGGAGGTTTTGTGAGAGACCAACCCTACGTTGCAATTCGTGGGCTTCATTTGCCATGAGAACCAATGAGGTTCCTAGATGTATAAACGCCTGGGTTGATTGATGAGTGCCCCTCCTTAGTTAGGATTTAGTACTCTTGGCGGGGACACCCCCTGTTACGACAAGTGTATACTCCGGCGTCAACGCTAGTTGTTCTCAGAATCATGCAAGCCCTTGGAGGAAGGTGCATGGAAGGAATGCCACAAAAGCCGTATGGGTTTGGCATGGTTTGGCCAGGAGTGGGGCGGGCGCCCGTGCTGTTCAATCACTTCGGATTCAACCCTCCACGTGGCCGGTTGGCGATTGGTTTCCTTTTGCGATTGCAAAGACATGTTCCGGATTTTTGGCTTGCGCTCTATCCGCAATCACACTGGTGCGCCTTGAGGGATCCGTCAATATGTGTAAGCTGGTGGTGAAGTTGCCAACGAGCGCACACGCATCCCCACCCTACCCGCACCCAACCCGCCAGTAACTCAGTGGTGAACTTATCAACACGTGTGCCAACATCCCTCGAACCCTGGCAACATCCCGGTAGCAAACATCCCGGTAGCGAAGATGTCCACACGAGTAAGCTGGTGGTGAAGGTTTCCAATTATGTGACACACACACATACCCAATTCTCAAGACAGAGTAAGGAGTCAACAGCCGGAATTATCAAACACTGTAGTCTCAGGTTGCCTCAGGTTTCTGCCCCCCGCAATGCCAGCCCCAGAAACAGCGACCTCGCCTTCCTTGAGCGGTTTTTTTGCTGCGTGGTTCACCCGCCGTGAGGACGGCGCCCAGTTTGTGGCGGAGAGCATCTTGGCCACTGCCGAGGCAGAATCCTACGACGGGGGATACCATGGCTACCATTCAAGCTCCCTCCCTAAGCTCCGTTTCAGGTTTCGTCACTTACGTTTGGTCCGTTTTTGGTGGCAAACAAAAGTGTTGATACATTTTCTGGTAAATCCGCATGTGAGAAAAGCTGAAGTGAGAAGAGCTAAATCAAGTTATCGGGTGAACATGTTATGATTCAGCCTGATTCAGCTGCTGGTATGCCGATTTTGTGCCAAGGGCCCCTTCACTGGGATGTGCGAGCGACATCCATGGCCCACATGGGGAGTAGTGACCGTGGCTCGCATGGCAAGCTCACCTGGTCAGAACAACTTCACCACGTATCAGTGGGGCTGGATCCCTCTTTCTGATCTGTAATCAGGGCTTATTAGCCCTGATTGGTTGCCGTGTTCCCTTTTTGTGGTTGAATTGGGCAAATGGAATCCCCCCCTTGCATTTTTTTAAGTAAAGGGGGTTTGGAAACCCTTGGAACCTCCGATATTTGGCCCGGAAAAGCGAATTCACCAACCATAACTTATAACTTGGTGGGCTGCCAGCCATCCCTGGGCTTTTTAGCCTTTTAGTGTTTAGTGGTAGTTTCCATTTAAATCACTAAAAGTCAAACTTTTAGCGGGGGATCTGAGGGCAGCCCAGACAATTTTGGGCTGTGTTGAAGTTGGAATTGTGGGGCTCCAGGTAGGGGACTTCTCCAGGGTACGGAGACGATCACTCCACCTCAAGCTTCGGGGGATGCCTTGAAATGGAGAGCCCCCATATTTCAGGAGATTGATTCATTCACCGGCATTCCTGCCATGGAAATATGACATCTCTGTGGAAGAAAGGCCAAATCAGGCCAAACAAGCCTTAGCATTTGATAGGCCCTTTTTTTGAAGCGGCGCCTGAATTCCTGTTGAAATTCCACGACTTGTCCTGGAAAGTGGGTGTGTCTGTTTCAGATGCCACCCTTGTCGAGATGTCTAGAAAGAACAAAAACCCAGAGAAAACCACCGGAACTTCGAGGAGTTTCTACCTGAAAAGACGCGACAACAAAAAACGGCGCACCGCGGGTTTTCGGCGGCTCCCGGTGCGTCCCTCTCGCTCGATCGATCCGAGAGGCGGCCGCGTGGGGCATCCGAACCTTGGGCGAGGCCGTGACTCTGCTGCCCCAAAATCAGCTGGAGGCGCGCGACTTTCGCGCGCGCGAAGGTAAGTCGCGGCGGACGTTTTTTTGTTTAGACACAACGGTGTCTTTCTTTTTTTTCCATTTCCGGACGCTGGAGCCCAAGAAAAGAAGAATCGGGATGGGCACTTGGGTGTTCAAAGCTCAGGACGCAGGTTATGACCATGGTTACACATGGGGTTCGAACCTGAGGTGCCCCAGTTCATGGTTGTCGTTGGGAAGCATTTTACATTTTGCTTATTGTGGCTTAGTGGGGATTCCCCACGTAACTGCTAAAATTTAATTTTTTGCTCCCCTTCCAACGTCAAGCATGGGCCCTTCTGGGAGGGGGGCCTGAAATGGTCAGTGTCTTAACAATGAGTTGAGGTAACTGGGTTAGACCGATTCCCTACTAGGTCCCCCAGCAATTGGTGCCCTTTGGCCGGTTCTTTCTTGGGGGGAGGGTTCCCCTACTAAAAAAAAAAGACGTCCTGAAAAAAATGGCTACCCTTCTTCTAACCGCTCAAATCTGGAGGACCGGTTCCCTATGTAAGAAATCCAGGGACTGGATCCTCTCCATGGGCGTTTGGGTTCATGTTGCGCAATCCGGCGGCCCCGAAGGCTGCCAAGCTGCCAAGGGCATCTTATGCTCAGTGGCAAGACTCGGCCAAGACCAAGCCCGAATCTTGGGACAATTCCATGGTTGTTGTTGGGAAACACTTTTTACATTTTTGCTTCTTGTAATTTGGGTTGGTGGGAAATCCAACCACTGAACTGCCCCAAACCCAACGTCAAGATTCAACAGCGCGCCGGAGCCTCGAAGCCCTCCATTGGCAAAGTGTTTTCTTTTGGGTTCTCTTGGAGGGTCCTGCTTGCTTTGTTCCAACCGCGTAGTTTGCTTCCTCATGCGACGATCACCCGGAAAAAAAAGCAGGAAAAGACAGAAAGAAAGAAAGAAAGAAAGAAAGAAAGAAAGAAAGAAAGAAAGAAAGAAAGAAAGAAAACAACACCAAAAAAGCACCAGTGATGGTACTATCTACTTTCCTGCTGGTTGAGAATTCTCCGGGAGGTCTTCTTGAGGTCTTCGAGGTGTCGATCGCCTGCCAGGTGCCCTGCAGCGCCAAGGGCGTGGTGTCCTCTGCCAAAGACGTGACGCAGCCCGCAGCCCAGAAGCGCCCCAGAAGCGCGTCAGCGCGAGGGTTTTTTGGCACAATTCTCGGGCGAACAGGTCCCGGTGAAAGGGGGGGAGGTTCATGGGTTTTGGAGGGGTTCCAGTACACAAATGTGGCTCAAAATGAAAGAGTCGGGGTTACGCAGGTTTTGGTGTTTGTTTTCATTTACGAAGGGGCCATTTGGGGTACCATTTCTTGAGCCACAGCCAAATCATGCCTGTTTGAGACAGCCTGACGATTCCGCTTTTCCCTGCCTGGGTTTGCCACTGGTTGGCCGTTACCTTTGTTGCCATCGTTGGATGCAGTTGTCCAGCATGATCTCTTCCAAAGCCCCCTGTCAACTAGCATTTCGAAGGTCAGTTTGAGGGGGTCAACTCAATGGACAAGGTGTGGCAGAGTTGCTCCGAACTGAAAACAACCAAAAGCTTTAGCAAGACAGATGTTTCGCAGTATGAACGCGCTTTCCTTTTCCAGGGGCTACACTTCTGTTCACGTGACAACGTCGAATGAGAGTTCCCTGAACTGCTGAACGCCCCTGAAAATGGCAATGGAGGGTGGCCTCGGGCATTCCATGTAGACTTGCGAAACGCAAAATGGGACGCCAGGAGCAACCTGAATAATTAGTGTGCCCTCCTCACTCCCTGAGTTCTGTTTTGGACTTTCGTCACTTGGGTTTGGTTGCCATTTTAGTGGCAAACAAAGAAGTGAAGATACCTTTTTCTGGTCAATCCACCCCGTCTCGCTGCATTTCCCCGTGTTTCTCTTTGTTTACCTATGTTTATCTATGTTCTCCTGCGCTCTCCTTGGTTCTCCCGTCTTGTGTCCCTGCGTTTTCCTTGTTTTCGCCAGGCTTTCTCTGTCTAGGTCCCCCAGCTAGGTGCCCTTTGACCGTTTCTTTTTTGGGGGAGGGTTTCCCCACTAAAAGAGACGTCCTGAGAGAAAAGATCGGGTACCAACTTATTCTAACCTCTCAAATCTGGACCTATAAAAGTCTCGGGTGCAAATGACGCGCTCAAGTCAGACCCGATTTTTCTTGGCCCTGGCTTGGTTGGGAGGGCCTCCGACACGTCCACGCTCGATGGCCGCGATCCGATGGCCGCGATCCGCGCGTCGGCGGCGCGCGCATCGAGGTCCGTGGCCTCGGCCGCGGAGAGCGTGGTGAAGCAGCTGGCGCCCATGGGCCACGCCGCGCGCTCGGGCGGAAGGCGAGTTGGCGGTTTGGCGGTTGGCCAGTGGAAGACATAGACGTCCATTTTGCTGAAACGAAGATATGTTTTTTCATTTTCCCTTGTTGGTTTTGCAAGGAATTTATGATTACTGTGTTTTTTGTTTTGTTTTTGTTTCCCTCTTTTCCAGGGGTCTTAACCAAATGGAAGACATATGCACCTCCACTATGGGTGGGGGGGTCTTTAAGTTGGAGCCCAAAAATAGAAATGGACCTCTTCTTGGGGGGGGGAGGGGCTTTGCAGGGGGCTTTGGGGGGTGAAAGGAAGATGTTGTGTTTTCAAAAACTGGTGGTCTTAAAGTTGGAATCTAGCACTACTGAACATATGTTGGAGAGCCAAACGTATTATTTAGTAATATATATATATATATATATGGACCTCTAGCATTTTGGGGCCTTTTGGGGGGGGCTTTTGGCGGGCTTTGGGGCTATTGGGGGGGGGGGGCAAAGGCCAAGGATAAGCCAAGGATAAGCGGAAGCAGAAGGGTGTGTCTTGTGTAAGGTACCCACAAAAGGGACTCCCAGACCGGTTCATTCTCAACACGTCGCGGTCATTCCCTACTGAGCACCAGCAAGTTGTTCAAGAGCAACCCGCAAAATGGGGGGGGGTCCGTTTTTGTTAAAGCCGACAAAAAAGTACCAACCATCAAAAAATGAGCTTTTTCTTGCTGGTTCTTAGCAAGAAATGAGTTGGAATGACCCCGAGAAAAGCCATCCCTGACTTGTTTCCCCTAAGGGGATCCCAAAACAGGCTAAAGCAAATGGAGGGTGGGATTTGCCTTTTAGTTTTCCTTTTAAACCCACAACAGGTACCGTCACAAACACGCGATGATCCACGGGTGAGAGCACCTTGAGCCAAATTTGCTTCCGACCAAAAAAGAGATATCCAACTTCGGCTAGGTCCCCCAGCTAGGTGCCCTTTTACCAACTTTTTTTGGGGAGGGTTCCCCTACTCAAACAGACTGCAGGAAAAGAAGGGTACCCTTATTCTAACCTCTCTACTGGAGGACCTAGTCGGGTTCTGTTGGTGAAACCATGATCGGTTTCCTTGGTCGCCTACTATAATGTCAACCATAGACCCCCAGTAGATTCATCGGGCATACAGTCTCCACTTTTTGGAAATGCAGATCACTTTTGTGGGTGACACCCCCTCTATTAGCGCCCATATTAGTAGGATGGTTTATTAACGCGTGGATCGCATTCAGGGTATGTTTTTTGGGGCCCTTGTTGGCTGGTTTTAAAAGGGAAACCACAAGGGAACACGCCCAATTTAGGGTCCCCTCTTTTGACGGAATCATGCCAAACAAGGCCAGGCATGCTGGCCTTGGCAAGTCAGCAAGGCGACAATCCCTGCATGGGTTGTTTGCCCCAGCGATTAAGTACCCGAATGGTTAGATTCGTGACCCAAAAGAAAACTCTTTCTACAAGGGTTACTTAGGAGGGAGGGTTTCCGGGGTTTGCCGTGCTTTTCCACAAGGCACCCTCAAAATGAGGACACATTCATAGCTGCGGGCTGCAGTAAGCATGTCTTCGGCTCCTGCAGAAGGACATGAGGAGATGTCGTTCTCTGAGTTTTGAAAGGAAAGTGCCTCGGAAGGTTCCCGCACTTCCCAAGTTCCTGGACGTTCTAGATCTGTATACTCTATGGGAAGAACATTTTGCTGAACAAAGCAATAACTTTGTTGGCCAATCCACTCAGAAACGGGGAAACTCATTTTGAGGTTCCCCAAAGCTTGACTTGCTCTGGGATCAGGAGTGTTTTTTTGTAAAGGCAAGCCAAATCGAAACCAACTGTTTTTTAGGGCTTTCCAATTCGAACCAAGCCCGTGTTGTCAGTTGTTCGACTGAGTTGATGATTGAACGCAAAAGCGGGCGGCAACTGCCCAACCCTGCTGCTTTCTGAGAAAATACCAAACACATCCTAAAACCCAGGGACCCTGGTGTTCCAAGTCAAGATCGACCTTTTGTGTTTTCGAAAACTTGTTTGTTCGGAAACCCACGCAAAGGCTCCTATTATACGAGAAGCTCCTACGAGCAAAGTCTTCCTGACCGTGGAACGAAGGGGAGGCAATGGAAGCCATGTTCGATATCGGCTTTCGACCAATCTTTGGTGTCCCCAAAATGAGGGACACGTTTTGGGTGTCTCTCGAGAACAACCTCAACCACCTGTGAGCCTTGATATGAAGGTTCCACCCTTAAGTTGAAGTTTGGAATATTCCCAGATTGACATGGAAGAGCACCATCATTGTCAGAGGAAGCTCCTTCCGTTGAGACCTTGTTGTTGGAGAACCCCTTCCGTTAGGCGGACTTTCCAATCAGAGCTGCATGTCTCTGAGGTCGGCTTTTTGGAGCAGCCGTGTACCTCGCAGAGGCGCGGGCCCAAGACAAAGCGCCGGCCCTCCAGTTGGCTGGCTCCTCCATTCTGGGGCTACCCGTTTTACCCGGGTTGGTGTCGCATTAAAGGGACACCAAAAGGAAACCATGGGATGTTCCCCATGAGACAAACAAGCCCATTTGGTCGCATACGGATTTGGACAAGATACAAACAGCTCTGGGGGCAAACAAGCACGCGCCTCCTTATTTCCGGTATGCGGTTTTTTCGTCTCAACCAACCGAACAAGGCCACCCTCAAAGAAAGAAACACCCATGTGTGTCTCCCCAAAGTCAGCCACTGGTTGCCTTGTCACAAAAAACAATGGACCCCAAAACTGACTTTACCCAGATGTGCCAGAAATTGGGGGGGAATGCAAAAAGCTGTGGTGGTCCTTTGGGTTTCCCTTTAAAACTAACCCCACACATCATACCCTCAAATAAGAAGCCCATATCTGTATGTTCGTGGATAGCCACCTGGAATTTTAACCCACCAACGACTGGGTTAACCCCAATTACGGAGGCTTATCACCTAGGTTACTGTGACAATTTACAACTTACAAAACGTGGATACCCTTTAACAGGGCTCCTTGACAGATACATGTTGCCCATTTGAAGCATTGCTTTTTCCACCAAAAGAAAGGGAAACCACAATTTACAAGGAATGGACATGTTCAGGTGTATAATGTAAGGATCCCTGTTTAAGCAAATGTTGGGTACCCTCAACAAAGCAAACCCATATGCTTCCCACACGCAGAGGCCAGAGAATGCTCGACTGGTGGGCCTTTCCTCCTTACGTGCCGCTCAAGGGGTGCTGCAGGCGCGCTTTTGCATAGAGACGTAGCCGGGGGGTTCGCCGCCTGTTTTTGGGAGAAGGGGGGGTGTCCGTGTGTTTTCCTAGGTTTCCCAGTGTTTTCCTAAGTTCCCTGTGGTACTTCCGTTGGGTTTTGCTAGGCTTCCCTATGTTTTTGTGGGTTTTCCTAGGTCCTAGGTTTGTTTCCTGTGTTTACCTACGTTCCCCTGGGTTTTCCTAGGTTTCCCTGTGTTGTGTCCCTATGTTTTGCCCTGTTCGGGTGACACTCAAACATCAATGCAGATTCCGACGGGTTGGGTGCGGGTCATGTTGGATCACTGGTCATGTGGTCCTGGTAATCCTGCGATAACCTGAGTTTCCCAAACACCGTTTCCCAAACCAGGTCTTTTGCCCAATGCTGCGCAAATTGTTACGCGGTCCCAAGAAGGCCCCAAAGAGGATCTAACTCTTCGCTTTTGAATTGTAATTTGCCAAGATACTTCCCTCAGCAAGTTATAGCAAGCTCACTTGATAAATGGGCTCACACAGAATGACGGTCCCTTTGCCTGGATGCTTGATTTCCATTTTGTGAACTATCATTTCTTGCCCAGACATTTCCCTTCTTGCGTAACTTTCATGATCATCATCACCACCACCACCACCATCATCATCGTCACCACCACCACCACCATCATCATCATCAGCATCATCAGCATCATCATCATCATCATCATCATCATCATCATCATCATCATCATCATCATCATCATCATCATCATCATCATCATCATCATCATCATTTTTTCCTTGTTGAGTAATTTTCATCACCTGTTGAATCATTGTCGATTCAGGTTCCCATGGATCGAGTGGTAGTTACAGGGAAAGTCTCGGGAACCTCTATTTCCACAAAGCGGTAGCTCATACCGGGGGTTCCGGAAGGAGCTCAAAGGTTTAGTCTTTGAAACCCTCGCCACACTCTTTTGCAATCCTCTTATAAGAGCCTTATCGCTCCATCGTTCAACTTGCAAAAGCTGTTGTCGTGGCCCTCTGGAAAAAACTACTTGGCCAACGCTAAAAAAATGATACATGAGAGGGACTCATTGTCATTCTTCAGTACTTCTTCCGACGAAAGATCCACTGCAAAAGTCGCAATCTGAGAGTCGGAGGTACAGCACTGTGTGCGTGAACCCTGGTCTTACGGGCTTACGGCATCAAACATTTCGTCCAGCTTTGCCAACTTCTGTCTGTGCACTGGGCAGGTTTCGGAGCATCCGGTTGGCAACAACCCTGTTGCTTTCGACTTTTGCGTCACCTGTGGGGCAGGGGCAACCCAAAAAGCAGTTTTTTTTGGTACCTTCCCCATTCTTTCCAGGGATCCTTCTTTTAAAGAAACCATCAAAATCCCAGAAACAAAGGTTGGTATTTGAAAAGAACGATGGTTGAAAAGTCTGGGGAGAGTTATCAGTGGTTTGTTCATGATTGGAAGAAAGGTAAATGAGATGCCCGCTCCTGTGATACCTTTAATACTTCCCAAAAGCACACTATGTCAAGGGGGCTTTTCTGGCATCACAGAAGTGGAGCAAGAGTTCTTGTTTCCAGAACTATTCTAGGGGTACCTCCCCCATTCTTTCCAGGGATCCTTCTTTCTAGAAATCCTCCAGAAATCCGGGGAAAACGGCTGGTGGTCAAGAACGGTGGAAAAGAATGGACAAGGAGCCAAACCCCTGGAACTACGCCGGCCAAAATAATTACACCTTCCATTCCCCTCATCATGAGGTATGTGGGTGTGTCTCACCATTTTGGTGGGTCCCGTTGTGAAACCTAGGTCCCCGGTAGTGCCCCTTTTTTTGGGGAGGGGGTCCCCTACTAAGATAGACGTCCTGAAAAAAGTTGGTACATGTTGGTACCCTTATTCTAACCTCTGTACTGGAGGGCCTAGAAACAAACTCATTTGGGACCACCGTTCAGTTCCTTCTAGGTCTCACCAGTCCGCAATTCCGCTCGTGCGAGGCCTGCGAGGACGCCAGCGTCATGGTGGTGTCTCGCATGACCGAGACTGGCACGGGCGTGTCGGTTGCAACCAGCCGACGGTTGCAGTGTCTTCACTGGTGCCCCAGCTAGGTGCCCCTTTACCAACTTTTTGCGGGAGGCTGCCCCTACTAAAATAGGTACCCTTATTCTAACCTCTCTACTGGAGGACCTAGTTTTGGTATGGGTGTTTTTGGTTCTGATGTGTTTTTTTGGCAGGGGGCTGCAAAACAAACAGTTTTCGGCAACCACGCCATGTTTTGGGAAGTTGTGTTTGAGTCGAAGGTTAGTCAGGAAACATCCCAACCATAAATGGGTGCAGCCGAAGTCTTAATTCTTTACTCTGGGTAGTAGACCATTTACAAAACCAGGTTTTGAATATGACTCATTTCTTGTTTCTGGGGCGGCGGAGTGCACTTTGAAAAGTTGTTTTGTGGCTGGAGAGGGGTCATGTTGAAGAATGGTGGTTCATGGCGGGCGGGGTTGATGCCCTGAAGGCCTTTAACTTTTGTTTTGGGGGCTCACTTTTGTAGGGATGGGTTAAACCATATGCGTTGACACCAGCAAATATATATATATATAGATATATATATATATATCTTGTATCAACAACAAATGCATGTAATTAGCACACTTCTGAACACTGGTTGTTGTCTTTGTGCCGAAAACTCCGAGCAGTCGCCCCTGGCTTCCCCGGTGTGTTCTTTCGTTGTGTCTCGCGGTCTGTGTGTTGGCTTCATTCCTTTCTTTGCTTTGCCGCAGAACGTGTTTTTCCGTGTCTCGAAATCGGCTGGACATCAAGGCGTGGTGAAGCACTTATGCGGCCACGACGCGGGCGACGTCTTTCAGGCGGAGGGATGGTTTCGGCTCAAGTCCCATGAGAACCCCAAACGGGCCGCGCAAAGTAAAAGTCACCCAAAAGGAAGGAAGTATGCTGGAGGAATGCGGCAAAAACAGGGGCGAATTCCCCAGAAAAAACAAAACACATTTAGGTCATGTGGTTGTGTGTGTTGAAATAAGAATTGAACCATACTGGGATGAAAGTGGGGGCCCCTTGACGACCATAGGAAGCCGAAGAGTCAGGGACATGAGCCGGCCCTTGTTCATGTTGTTGTTGTTGTTGTTGTGTTTCTTTTTTTTTGTGTGTGTGTGTGTGTTTTTTTGGGGTGGGGGGGGGAGGGGGGTCAATCGTGGGTTCAACCGCTTTTACATCAACTCCCAGCAAAGGTGCCTTGTTTGTTCCATGGCAGGCTGACTTGTAAACCACTCCCCAGAAGACACGAAACCGGCAAGGTGCTGGTTTAGACAGGTCAATTTTGCCTTGAAGTGGGGTTGGGGCCGGAGCCGCGAAGCCACAAGCCTCACATGGCCTCTTGCTATATCTCTGAATGAGGCTCCTGCACCATTGGGAGGTTGTGCGGGTCCCTGGAAGAAGTTGAGGTGCCCTTTGGTGGAAAACCGCCGCGCAAACCCCATCAGCGGGTTCGGGGTGTGGTTGGGGCCGAAGGGATCCCGGTGCAGGATGCGGCCATCTCGCTCTCGTACATCCTGGACGCACATCGATGCCTCTGCGGCATCTCGGCGGGTGTTCTTCGGCAACATGTCCACCCCCCACAAAACTTGGTAGCTCCCAGCCATCCGGTTCCTTCGCCTTTTAGCTTGTTAGTGTGTAGTGGTAGTTTCCATTTAACCCACTAAAAGTTAAACTTTTAGCGGGGGATCTGAGGGCAGCCCAGAAGTTGCTGCTGACTTGCCATGCCAAAGTTTCGAAGCTTCATTTGCGGTGGCTGGAACAAATTTGGGTTTCTGCTGGGCTGCTTAGCAAAAGTAGTTGGAACGCACCCCGTTGTGGGGTAACAAGCAAACAAGGGATGTTTGATTTCCCCCATGAACTATATGTGTGTGTGTGTCTGGGCCCCAAAATGGTGATGTTCCTGTAAGCTTCCCTTCTTTTATTTGCCAAGAAAAGGGGACCCTCGAAAAAAGACACACCTATAGTTATTAAATACACCTTCTGCCTTTGGAGGCAGTCCTTTGCCATCATGGCTGCCTGATGCTTATGACTCACAAAAGCACGACAGGAGTTGTTTAAAGAGTTGGCTTCTTTTGTTGCACACTTTGTCCTGTTCAAATTCAATGCGGGTGTCCTTGTTGTTCCTATGCCAACTGGGCATGAAGCACCATGTAGCTCTTGAATAAAAGGTGTAAATGGTTACCTTTTCCTTCCCATGTTCCGGTCAGGGTGTTGGTTTGGGGTGGTTGCACTGTTCACAGCCAGCTAGCCCGCTTGCTGCAAAATATTGGCGTTGTTATTCTAGCCGGGTTTTTCAACATCGGTATTTTGGGTGGGTTCTTATTGAGTTTCCAGGGTTTCCTGGTTGGGATGGGAGCTTGTTTGCAGGATTTCCTCAGGGGTTTCCTCCGGGAACCGATCCGCAAGGCCACAACCTGACGATGCTGCCAGCCCTTTGGCCTGAGTGTGGATCTACCCTACCCGTGGGACGACCAAAAACGGGGAAGATCCAAGCCGTTTTTTGATCCCCCGGCCATCCGGTTCCTTAGGTGTTTGGCCGGGTGCCGTATCAACTAGGGATGTTTTTTCACGCCGAATTTGGATTTTGTTAAGTCGCCTGGGCAAGCAAGCAAGCAAGCAAGCGCCCTTAAACCCCCCCCCCCCCCGCCCGTATACCCTAAACACAGAGCCACCTTGACTTACCCTAAACCCAACCCAAACCTACCCCAGCCCACTAAGCCAGCCCGAAGAAACCAACCTTCACCCCCTGACCTCACCCTCAAACCTAATTACCCTTAACCTATATACCCTAAATATGCCTCAAACCCACCTTGAACGTACCTTGAACCCTAAATCCAACCTAAACCCACACCCTGAACACCCGAAGCCGCGCCCTACTAACCCAAACTCTGAACCCACCCTAAATCCAAACCCGCCCTAAAGCAACCGCAAACTAGACCCCCAACGCACCATGCACACTCAAACCACCCTAAGCCCACAACTCTGAACTTAAACCCACCTTAAACCCTACCAACGCCAACCTAAACCCACCCTAAACGTACCCTAAACCCCTACAAGAGCCTAGATGGCTGTCACTCCTTCAGCGGCTGCTGTTTCATTCTTCACTGAGGCACCAATAAGTCTCTTCTTGGATAGCTCAAAACAGCACCTTGCTTTCCAGATCGCACTGAAATAAGCTGCCCCAAGAAGGCTTGCGTGTGCGCAGGTTGGATTGCCGACGGCTGGCATCCATCCCAGCAGAATAGTGTAAGACATGGAGAGGACACTGCATTTGTTGGCATGTTTGACATCAAGGCAGCTGCAGAGAGCGCATGATCTCAGGCCAAGTTTTTTGGGAACTCAAATTCAGTGCGCAGCTGCACCTGCTACCAGCCAGGGCCTTCCGAACCATGGGCAAGAATTTCCAGTCTTTACAGAAGCGCTGCGAGGTGGTGCTGTCACGTTCCTCTTGGCCTTCTTGCAAGCAGGAGCACCAAGTTCGCACGCGAGGTGCGAAAGCTGCAAGGCATCCGGAGATGAGTATAGCTGGCACTTCACCAGTGTTCACGAGGCTCTTGCCGCGACGGCCAGACCATGAGCTGGCAGAACACCCTGGCTCTTCTGGCAAGCTCCGAACTGCTCGAAGGACGCGGATTTCGTCAAACCCCCGCCAGGCCTCAAAGCCAGAAGATGCATGAATTTGTCGGAAAAACGCACCATCATCGGGTCATTCACCTGCGGATCCTATTGCGGACATTGGGCCTTTCTGTCAAAGCACGGAACCTCAAAATGGTTAGGAAGCACGCGGGCGCGAAACAGGCTTCATGGAACTCATTGCATTGCAGAACTCCTGGGTTGAACCACACGCAGAAGTTTTTTCATGGGCTCCGGAGCTTGCCCGAAGACTTCTGGTCTGCGTTGCATGGACTGGCTGAATAGGATTTCAGGTTCTTGGAAGGTTTCGGGGGCTGCGTGGGTTTCATGGCAGGCGTGGGTTTCGTGGCAGGCGCAACACTTTCGCAAGGCCAGGTGGCAGGCCGCCCCAAACCCGCGCCCTACATGCACCGTAAACCTACACTGAGCGTAATTGCTAGTGGCAAACTGTTGTTGGGGTTGGCCGTACGTTGATATTTGGCCGCTGGCGAAACGGCTGATTTGCTGATGCATGTTGAGGGAACTCTCACCAACTGTAAATGGCCCTTCGAGTTAACCAACATGACAGGGTGTCCGACGAATTGTTCGTGAATCCATTAAATACTTGCCAGTGCCGTTCAACCCGCCGAAGGAGTCTCAGAATTGATTGATGGACATGGATGATGGGTACTGGATATGGATATGAACAATGGAATGGAACGAATCATAGAATGAATCATGGGAAAAATGGATGATGGATTCCGGCCGGCGGGTCCATGAGAAGCAATTGAAATTCATTCCACCCCCCCCCCCCCCCAACAAAAAACAATTCAGCAAACACCGCCGGAGGCCGGCGTTAGGTGTGGGTTCGGACCGTAATTGTCAACTGGTAGGGGGTTGCATAGCATGCTCAGCTAGCCAACATGTACCCATGCCCGATGATGTAAACCGTGTCCATCCACCACTTGTAAGAGCATTGGCAGTGAACGTTCGCAGCCATATGGGCATGTTTTTTCTAAAGTATCCTTGGAGCCTTGGAAGTTCAATTGTGGGTTGCTTTTGGTTTGTATCGAACGGTGTTCAAGCTGCTTCGGCTACTTCTTCACCATGACAAGGGGGCGATCACCCCAGTCACCCCAGTCGTGACCACGAGGGCCTTGGGCCTTTGGGCAGTCTTTTGGAAGTGACGAATTGCAACAACACCTGAGTGACTTCATTCCTCCCGAACAAAAAGTCCGAAGCTGGGTTCCAACTAAACGTGCCCTCTGTGTCGAACACGAGGCCCGGCCTCGAGAAGAAAAGAACTCCCGTCCAAAGGGCCAAAGTGAGAGGCTCACCTTTTGCGGTTGGGAACCCAGGGATTCAAACTCGGGTTGCCTTCACAACCACTCACCACTCCACATCCCATCCCTGAAAGGGAGGGCCATTGTTGGGTTCGGGGGGAACACACTTTCCTTTTGGGAGGAATGAGGGTGGAGGCATTGAAGCTCCTGGGACCTTTACAGAGCCTTGGCCAAGGGCAAGTCCCGAACAAGATCGGAAGCACCCGAGAAACCCGAAGGAAGCTTCCGTGGCCCTGGATGTTCAAGCGGGAAAGTAGGTAACAATAACAATAATAAGAATAAGAATAATAAATAATAATATTAATAATAACAGTGAGAAGAATACCCTTTTCGCCTTGTTTACGTGGAACCTGACCTTCGGTTTTATCCGGCCCCTTTGAAAGGAAAATGGTCCAGGCCCCGGCCCCCGCCCGTCCGGTCCGAGGAAGCGGAGCTGAAGGTCTCAAATGTGTCGCAGGAGGTGGAGGTCTGTTCGGCGGGTCCTTGCCAGACTTTCCGCCGTTTGGAGTTTCTTGTCTTTCTTCTTTCTTGGAGTTTTGCTGCGTTCTTTCTTCTCTTCTTTTCTTTTTTTTTGGGGGGGGAGGGGGGGTTGTGATTGGTAGGCGCGCTCTGTGTTGTTTACTGTTGTAGAAGGAGGTGGCTGTGGTTTGACTCAGGCCGACCGGACATGTCGTTGCCGGACTTCAGGAAGAGTGTTGCTTTAGTACTCCGTCCTCGCACAAACATAGCACCTGTGGGAGGATAGCTGGAAGATCAATTTTCTTTTGAAGGCATCCCCTGTCAGGTGCCATGTTGGTGGGAGGCAGGGTACCCTTTCGAGTTTCCTGGTTCCCTTTTCACCGGCAAAGTGTGCCTTTTTGCATGGTTCGCGGGCCCGCCCCTAGCAGCCTTGGGAAAAGCAACTGAGCAACGGCTCTCCATTCACTAAACCAAGAAGCAAACAGCAGCTAGGTTTCCAAGCAGCCAGTTTGTTTGCGGTGTCTCTGGTGTTTAGGCCATGGTGTTCGCCTATGTTTCAATCCATGAGCTGTGTTTGGGAAACCTCAGTTTATAACCTGAGTCACAAGTACACGGTGCGCGTCCCAAATACGTCCATTTCTACAGGATATATTCGAAGTAGTGATGCAAATCCTAAAACCCTGCGCCAGAAAATAGGTCACTCCTCCTGGATTTTGTTAGGTTTGGACAATTTTCACGGCCAAGCAAAACTTTGGACTTGTTTGACAATGCACTCTATCCCAATTTTGGGTTCTTCCATATCAGCTGGTGCAGAATTGTCTTTCCACAGCATCGCTCTATGGTCACGTCCAACAGTTTTTCCAGAAAATAGTCGAATTCAGCAGGGAGAAAGCCGCCTGGCCGATGAAAAGAACGATGGTGGAAAAGAATGGGACGTCAACCTGTAAACTTGCTGGTGCTCAGTAGGGAATGACCTTCCGGGTGATGGGAATGAACCTCGGGATTCCCAAGAAAGATACCCTTTCAAGGCAATCATCCGTTTCTACTGACCGAATGATTTGAAAACCTGAACAGGAGGGTTTGGGGGTTTCCAAGACATGACTCTTTAGCGAGCTTGGCCGCGACGCGCAAGTAAGCAGATTCTAGTTTCTAGTTTCGAGGCCTATGCCATCAAAGGGAGCCGTTCTTATTGGCCAGAGGAAACATCGCCTGTTGGCAGGGCTGTTTGGGAAAACTTCAAGCAACATCAAGGAGAGGCAAAGAATACCTTACTTGCTGGTGCGATGGGCAGGGAATGAGTTGGAATGAGCCCAAAAAACCATCCCCGATTCGGTGTCCTTTAATTGAAAGACTTCCTCTTCCAGATGTGATGTCGATATTGAGGTGGGAGCCCACCCTGCGAAGGATTCGCCAGTCCGCCTGAAAACTCTGGCGAACAAGCACGAGCCTTAAAATTGCAGCAAAAAGGGTTCCATTGCCACTGGGAGGCTTGCGTCCGTTTGAGCCTTCCAGCCTATGGGATTTGACCAACCGGTGGGAACCCACTCAGTCGAGCACCGCAACTGCTGCATGCGCACGCGACTGGCCAGGAAAGTGATGAAGCAAGCGCTGAGCGCAACGCCGGCGCTCACTTTCTCTAGCTCTGTTCAAAATCGCAAGTACCTTGTTGCCATCCCCTTGGTTGCAATGTTTTTCTATTCTGCGGAGTACGGAAAATCGGAGTTGGATCCATTTTGAACAACCCGCTTTAGTACTCCGCGTAGTCTACGTCGCGGAAAAGGGCCGGCTGCGGTGTGGAACTCCCTGTCCATGCTACCTGGGCAAATTGAATCGTGACACGTGTCCTAAGGAATGTTCGCCCTGAATGAAGATAGCTTCCAGGGTCTCCTCCAAGACTAGGTTTCATTTTGTCCAGGGTTGACCATATGTTGAGCAGAATCTGACCATCTGATTTTTAATGCACCCAGCTGGGGAACTTTCGGGGTCCTGTCTCGCTGTGTGCCCTTTTTTCGACCCCCAAGACCCTCGGCCGGTTTCACCTCTTGGCCCGGCCGCAAGGGCCCGGCTTGAGTTGCTGTTTGGGGATGCCTAAGGGTCCCTTGCCAGTGCTTTGGCCTTTGAGGGCCTTTTTCTGGCTCCAGGTGAGCCAGATCAGTCGGACCGCTGGGGCTGGGGGGGGGGGGGGGAATAATTCATTCCTTGAGGAACACCGAAGCCCTTTTTTTTGGGGGGGGGTCCCCCTAAGAAAAACACCATATAGAGACAGGGACGGTTTTCCATTAACAATGATTGATTGGATGGCCTTTTTCCAGTTCCCTGTTTCAAGACGTTGATCAAGTTGCGAAGCTTGAGGTAATGCTAGGGGTGCAATATGGGTTTGCGTCTCATTTCTGGAAAACTGGGGTGCCCCCAATAAAGAGACCATCTAGAGACAGGATGGTGTTCGATTGATTGGGTGGCCGTGCGATCTGGGTAGGTCTGTGAACCCGTTGGTCGTGGTCGTCGCCGGTCCACATCCGCCGCAGATCTTTTGCTTTCAGCCAGAGAAAGTGCTTTCATTGCGTCCGCGGCCTCCCGGCATGAGCTTGAGTCAGCTTGAGAGGGGAAAATTCGAGATCCCTCGGGTTGGTTGCCTGGTTTGACAGATGGGTGTGGCTCAAAATTAAACATGAGGGGTTACGCAGCTTTTGGTCCATGTTTCCACTTACCAGGGTTCCATGTTGGGTACCGGTTTTTTGAGCCACAGCCAGATAAAGTCCTTTTCCGGCCGATGATGTTCAGTTCTTGTTTTTGTTGGTTGACATCCACTCAGCCTGATTTGGCTGAGAATGGACTCATCAGCTCTCCGGCTTGTTTCGGAAGGCACGCCCAGACAAGAGCCAATGGAGTGAGGCAACGAATGGTTTTGGGGGGCGGATTTCCGACTCTGCCCCGCCATTGGGATAAAAACCTGCTGCTTCCCATAGGCGGGTGTTTCGCGGTCAGACAAGGTCAGCCTGGCGCCCCGAAACGTGCAGACCCCAAGCTTGTTAAGCAAAACAAGCCCGCCACAGGACAATGCTCGGAAGACGTGGGCATAATTGAGCAACCAGGGTTGTCAAGAGGAAGAAGAAGAAGACGGCAAAGATGAAGAGGAACACCTTGAAGACGGCCAGCACCAACATGATATTTACCATTGACAGAAGCACTCAAGTTCAGAAGAATTCTTACCGAAAGAGCCCCTCTTTGGTTTGGGTATGCTGAGGTCAGAAATGCCGCGGATTTGGCAATGCGTGCTGGCCAGCACTCTTGCAGTCGCACCTCGGCGTTGAAACTTTGGTGCATCTTTCATGAAATCAGCATGACCTGAATGACGCATGAATACTCGACCTTTGTTTTCAAGCACACGGTTTGGAGGCCCTGTACTCCACCAGTTCTTCCACGCGGTTGGTGTGTTTAGTATCTTTGGTGCATGTTGCCAAGGGATGTTAGGACTGCAAATGTTTTGCCAACGAACGGGTTTTCCGAATTAAACCACTAAAAGTCGAACTTTTAGCGGGGGAGCAGAAAGCAACCGAGAAAAAGCCGGGAATTCCACTTCAAGTGCTCACGACAAGTTTTGCCAAGCTCAAGTTGCATTCAGAGATGGCCAAAAATTGTGCGACCCATGTTTGGGACCCTTGACGGCCAAACCCTTAGGGCTTGGGGGACTGGCGATAAGTACCAACCAGCCAAATGGCTCACTGTTCGCGCCGCAGGCAATTTGTTTTTTTTGGGGGGGGCATATAGGGCTTCTCAAGAGAGTGAGGTTTTCGGGTTGCTGCAACAAAGCGGTACCTTTGATTCGCTATTGCATGCATGTGAGCCACGTCCAACTCTCTTGAGGTGAGGTCACTTGCCCTGTCCACGAAGATGGAAGCCACCTAGTCCCTTCCCCTCAGTCAGGTTCCATGGCAACAGAAGGGTACAGGTCCAACTTGTTTCTTCATATTTTCTCACTTCCCAAATTCCTAGTTGCCGGGAAGGCTCAAAAACGGTAGACAACACAACTCGTGTTTTTCCAAATCGCCAGCTGGTGGCGTTCCTTCCCAGGGCATCATTGTTAAGAACAATTGTCGCCCACCTTTGACTCGCACCCTAGCGACATGGGTGCCGACGAAAGGGGAAGAATACCTAGTTACAAAGATCGGGTGCCTTTTAGACATTGGCACGGAATTATATTGGGGGGTGGATGGTTTTGAGTACGCTTTCGTGCAAAACGAAAACCACCATTTTGAGGATTTGGTTGAGGGTTGCCCTTTGGTGTTTTTAACGACCTTCTCCTTTGAGTGAAAGGCCGTCAGGTGACCTCCGAAGGTCCCGAAACGAGGGATTCCCTGGGTCCCAAACGATGCCAGCAATTTTCTCCGGTGGGTGAAGCGTTCTTGTGGTTCCACTCGCCTTTTTTCCGCGGCATCCACAAAAAGCTTCAAAACAAAACCGCGGGGCGATTCTCCCAATTTGCTGTGGTGGTTTTAAGCATGTCGGACTGATGATTGACAGTTTTCGAGGGGGCGGGGTGATGTGTAAAGGGGAGATCTCGAGAATTTGGGGGGTCCATGAGGACTTCCCAGCCGTGCTTCCAAGGTGGCGCGCAGCAACCCGGAGGAGGCGCCAAAAACATCATCGAGCACCGTGGCGGTTGCTTCGCAGAAGGGAACTTTGGATGAAGCCGGAGAAAGCTACTCTCGAGATTAACATGCAAAGAACCACAAACAATCCGCACAGGCACATGGAACCCACAAAAGGCAAGCATATCTTCAGAGCAATCCCCGAAATAAACTGGTCTTTCAAAAGGCGCAAAGCACTTTCGAATGGCCCATTCGAATGGCCCAGCTTAGCGGAGCCAAAGTTCGGAGCCATGTCGACCCCAAGTCGGAACCTCATCCCACCATCGATGGTCATGCTCCCCGCTAAACATGTCAGCCAAGCGCCCAAAACCATTTCAACCATTGGCCAAAGTTTTAGGGGGTTCAGTTCAACTAAAGGGTGATCATATTGCTTGCTTCATGGCTAGTTGGCAACGGATCTTTGGACCTTAACTTTTGGTTGAAGCTTTGTGGATCTTTCGAACTGGGCCCACAAGTTACACTTTGTGCAGAGGGATCAACAGCAACCAAGGTTAGTAAGCCTGGTTATAGCCTGGTCCTACCACACGTTTGGGACTTGCCGCGCCGCTATAATAGTGGTTACTAGCCATAGCTCTGTCCAGGACCATCTAAGTTCCTTTTTATACAAAGGTTCGGCTGTTGAGGTTCGGAAAAACACCATCCAAAGGTGCTTCCAGGCCTTCCACTATGGGGTCTCGGCTTCACATGATGATTGCCCCTAGCCGCTATGGTATTTGGAAGCACTGTATGTTTTCCCTTGAACATCAGTGCGCCTTTTTTTCAGCTTGCCTCCAGAAGTCCATGGCTTGAGAGGGGTGAAACTCCCAAAAGTGATCTGGAACCCCAAAAGTGAAATATGAGGCGCACCCCCGATGTCAAAGAAAAGGCACCTCCGGATCCCAGCGTTGCCATGGAACCCTTCGACGTTTGGGGGTTGAAGACGACATGTTCCTCTGAAAGGGACCCACTGCTTGCTTCCATGTTGGGAGCGAACTCCATGGTAAAGCACATCAGTGTCCCCAATTTCTCCACTTCAGGAAGTCAACCGCACCAACGACACTGGCACACCAAACCCAGTTGCCCAGTGGCGCCCTTTATTCTTTTTTTTGGGAATGGTTCCCCTGTAAACTCAACCAACCAAAAAGGATGCCCCTTTTTTCCCATGGCCACTGGGCATCTGAGCAAATATTTCGCACAGGTAAAGGGCATCGCTCAATCTCTGCGTTTGATTCCGTGGAACCAACGGCTACGCATGAGCACGCCGCAGGCAGTCTTGCCGGGTGATGAATGTGCCCTGGTACGCACCAAGACCCCAATCCACCAAAGCCGCCTTGGCAGTTGGGTTTTGCGAAAGGTTCAGACCACTCTGCGATTGAATCTTTAGCCTTGCACCGTTTGAGAACATGACAGGCGCCACAAGTTAGACACGCGGCAGGGGGAACAGCCAAGTTTGGCCAACCGAGCCGCGGTGGCGGCAAACAGTCCTTTAAGAGTAGTTTGCATCATGCAATTCGGCTCGTTAAGCAGTTGTTATGGCGTTGAGAGTGACTGAAACTAATATATTTTGACGTATTTGCATTCTTCCCTCAGAACTATGTGGAAAAGTGCAACCCCAAAAACATCCCGCCTTGCTGTGGTATGCCGTGGTGAGTCGTGGTAAAGTCTCGACAAAACTGCACTTTTGTACGCTCGGTTGGTCGAACGGAGCTCATGTGATTCAGCTACAAACGGAGAAGGTAGGTGGGTTTCTTCCCCTCCCAGAGGCTCCCGAGTGATTTGGGGCCTTCAAACAACCTAGTTTTCAGACCCCCAACCACCTCCGAGGTGTCTAATGGAGGGGTCGGGTCTTCCATTGAAAGCCCCAGGAGCCTCTGGGCTGTGGAAATGAGGGTGGGGGTGAGCAAAACTGAATCTGTGAACGGGGCCGGTGAAGGAGCGAGCTTGTAGCTGACCCAACTCAGTTCCGGTTTCCCTCGGCTTCCCAAAAACTGCTACGCTGCCATGGAAAAGTCTCGGAATTTCCAAAGGA